TTAAAACCTCACCCCAGATAAGCAATACCCTTATCATATTCCAAACTATATTCAAGAGAAGAAGCAACCTACATCGTACAAATAGGTAAACAAAAATTAATCTGTTTATATAGCATAAGAAATAAAAAGGAAAAGCTAAGATAAGTCCATACACCAATGTCCAAATTGAAAGACTAAAGCACACTACCTCTGACAAATAAGTGATAAAATGGTTTATACAGGCTGCATCCTTTGCAAGCATAAAAACTAGGCCCTTGATTATCAACCATGCAAAAGCAGCAGAATTCAACCAAGAATATCATGGATTCATGGCATAAAAATACTGTATAATTAGAATGTCAAAGCTGTATACCTTTTTGTGGCCCAGTTACCAGTAACTGATTGTTGTAATTTGATGAAAGCATACCAACAGCACTACCACCTAGAGTTGAAACAGGCTGTGAGGATTCTATAGGCAAATTCTTTCCAGGTCCCTGGGACTTGTTAGGCATTTTTCCTCGCACATTTGAGCTCCCAACCTCAGAAGTGGCTGTTTTAATAATTGACAGAAACAAGGATTATAATCTATTTACAATGTAAGGAAAAAATATCTTGATAAGATCAGAACATTAACAATGCACTTCAATTTATTGATGAAAACCTTTACCAGAAGTCACTTCGCTATCATTGGAGTTGGAAGGTAAGTGTTCATCAGGTGCATGCCTATTTCCTACTTCATGTTGAATTGCACCCATACCATCAGGCTGTGCACCTTGTGATGGGAATGGCACTGGATCAGAAGCAGAGAAATTAACTCCTGATGAAGGAAATGAGGCATTGGTAGCAGTAGAGTTACTAGGATTCTGCATTTGCTGGCCATGCATATCACTGGTCACTTGTTCAACTTTGGGGCTTTTCTTTGCATCAATAAGATGCTCTGGTTGCCCCTCCAACTTACCAGCAACAGCACCTGTAGTTGGTGCATAAGCTACACCACTAGGTTCATTAGGTGAAGCTATTGACAAGCTGAAGAAGGAAATTGGTAATAACAATGACAAAATTAGTGCATCAATAAGAAACATTGGAAGGTGATGAACAGTTTATCCAGAATATTTGCAACCATAGAAGCACAGTCTAACAGTTCAAGGAACATGGATACGAGATCAAGTAATTATAAACAAATAGCAAGGTGCACATCTGTACCACCTTGTATTATTATTCTCTGTCTGAGAACTAGGGATGGAGGTTGGGCTAATGCTCTTCTCCAAAGTTTGGCTGATTCCATTTACCTTACCAGAAATTAACTTCCTTCCACCACCGGCATCTAAAAATGTGTGCACAAATAAATATAATCAGGTTCACAGTTAAGCTTAAGCAGGGCTCATCTAGGTATCTAAAATCAAGCTAAGGTTCTTCCAGAGATACATTATCAATTTATCATATTGTGTCATCAAGAATCTAGATTACTATCAGAGTAACAATAATCAGAAAAAGGAATGCAAGTGTCTAAAACCATTGAAGCCATCTCATAGTTTACAAAAGAGAAAATTTCACTTTTGGTCTCCTGACTATTAAAATTTTCTAATTAGGTGCATGACTATGCAATTTGTATCACATTTTGTCCTGTCATCCAACTTCCCAGCCAACTATTGCCAGATTCCAGAAGGAGCACTGCATTTGATTCTTCCGTAAAGAGCACTTCTGGAAGATGCTTCTTCCGGAAGGAGCATTTCCAGCAATAGTTGACCGGGAAATTGGACAGCATGACCAAATCCAAATGTGATACAAATTACATAGTCATGCACCTAATTATAAAATTTTAATAGTCAAGGACCAAATGTGATTCATGTATAATAGTCAGAGGACGAAAAGTGACATTTATTCTTTACAAAATTATAGGAAACAATAATACAATGTAGCTTGTTGGCTTCAAAAAGAGGTGATCATAGTAAGCAGAGAGGAGTATGCTCATTTTTAACCCTTGGTTTGATGTTAAAAACTATAGTTAAAGGAAATCTCAATGATGTGCATTACAAAGGGGAAGATAATAACGGTATGATCATGAAAAAGCAAATCTTCCAAACAAAAAATATCATGAGAATGTGTACCAAAAAATCTTGAGATTTCCATATTGCTTTTTGGAAATCGTTTAGAGAAAATATCAAAGAAAAGCGTTCTAGAATGGAGGTTTACCATGAGATACATAACGAGATGAATAGTTTCCAAAGCCACCCTTATTCCCCCGCCCCTGTGTGCCTGCTTTCCGATTAAGCTCTCCATACTTATTGTTCACATTCTGAAAAGAAAAAATATATAAGCCCTTTGCAATGGAAGAAAAAGAGGGAAAATATGAGAGAAGTAAGATCAAAGTAAAAATTGAAGGCAATGAAACCATTAAAGTAAGGTGAAGTCTTATTATTCACCTCAAACCAAAGCATGTCAACCACTAAATAACATAGGGATTATGAAAGCATATGAAACTGCTAATCTGCAACTCATGCAATTTAAGACACCATATAGTTATGGACTTACAGGGGAAAAAATGAAGTGTTTTGTTTCTATAACTGATTCTACCTACAGATTGTTAGTGTGTCATGTATTCAAAGGTTACAATATATGCAATAAGGTTATAAGGATCACGAAAACGTGGCTACTTAATTACGTCAATACATTGCACAAACAATTTTTTCAAAAAAAGCCTACATGAGTTTTATCCTGCTTTAAGAAATTTACTGATAAATAGATTTGCTGTTGCTGTATGCTCGTAGGGTCTCTCAGTGGCATGTGGATAATAAAGCTATATACCTCTTTTCTCCGATCACGTTTCCTTTTTACTTCGTGAAAGGTATCTGCAACAGAAAAAATAAAATTTTATTTTGCAAGGAGAAAGAAGGCAATTAATGAAGGAAAATCATAAAAGAAAATAATATCCTTTATGCTATGGGGTTTTGGGAAAATTCTCCAACAAATTCATGGAATTCACTACAAAAAGAACTAGCAACGCATGCAAAAATGCTATGCTTCGCAAAAAAGAAGGGGAAAACAAGTTCTCCAATTGAATCAAACATAATGTTCAGAGAATTCCAGAAAGCTAAAGTAATATGAATGATTCTGAAAATGTCAAAAGTAAAAAAGCTTCTTTTTTTTCACCTGGAATCACAAAATGGTGAATACACTGTTAGCATACATTGACACCAAGCTATTTCCTTCACTTTCTTCACTCACCACACCCCCCCCCCCCCCCCCCCACTTCCAAACACTGGTGAACCTACATAATGCAGCTCAAAAACATGCATATACTCCCTAAAACCAGATAAAAATTAAGAAATCGCAATATATATGGAAAGAAATCTAACAGAAAATTGAACGTGCCAAGTAATCAAACTGTATAGTGCATACAGATCAAATAAAAAAAAATGTAAAGAGAAAACCAAACTACGCCACTCAGTAAACTAGAGAAAAAGCTGTATACGTATACACATGACGCAACCACAGAGAAAATGGACCCACCCTGAAAGATGAGCTTCTGGGTAGTCTCATTAGGATCCATGGAGCATTCTTTGAGCATCGCATATATCTCCTCCTCGCTGTGATTTCCGGTGATCTCCTTTATCTGCTGGATCGTCTTCCACACACTGCTCGGAATTGAACCCTTGCCCACCTCTGCTCCTCCAGCAACCCCACTATTGCTGTCGCTGCTGCTCATCTTCAGCATACCCCACAATCTGTGTATATACTAGCTATTTATCTGTGTATGGATCTATATTGTATATATGTATCTATATAGAAAGAGAGAGGGAAAAGAGAGATTATATGTATCTGGAGATTAAGAAGGGGCAGAGGGAAAAAGGGTTTTGAATATTCTGATCTCAAATTGCTTTTCTTTAGCTCTAAAATTTTGCAGGAGCTGAGTAAGGCTTATTTGATTTGAACCATGTAAACATATAATTATATTACTCCGTATTATATAGCATGGAGGTAAATTGGAGCAGGAAGACCTGGATTCTCCCAATACCAAGTTGACAACATTTTAGTATAATCAAATAGCCATTTTTTTGTATTCAAAAAATATCAAATTGTTTTTTTCGAAACACTTATAACTTATAACTCTTTACAATATAATATCTGCTCTATATTTTAGTACAAAAAATTAATACATATGTCTTACTATCGAGATTCGATCATGTAGTCACCATTTAAAATAGTAACAAATGTAACATTAATTAGAATTACAAGAAGCAATAATATGACAATACTCTTGTAAGGAATTACTCTTTCGGGTCCAATCATAGAGATTCAAACTCTCACATTACCGCTTTCAATTATGACCTTTTAAGTCATGCGACAAATCAACGCTAAATTCGGAGCATATATTTTGTTGCATTCCTTTTGTCATATTTTATGTGTATGATTCGATTAATGAGTTTTGAAATTATTTTGAATTCAATTTTTTATAACATTAACTTTAATATTAATATATAAAATTTATATATTTAGAAACTACATTAAAATTTATAAAACACAAAAAAAAATAATTAAAATAAATAAAGAATAAAGAATTTATTTGACCATTGAACAGTAAACTAAACAAGTAAAATATAACAGGGGAAATATTATTTTTATTGTGATTATACACCAAGTACAAAGCTCTAAATTCGAATATTCATAAGAAATGTCTATTAAACATACATTGAAGTATTGAACTAATATATACAACATTTTTTTTATTATGTATTTAACAAACAATTAAATATGTATGCATCTTTAACAAAAAGGTATTCTGCATTATTTTTTTTTTTTTACAAAGTTAATAAAAAAATTAGTTGCAATAATATTGAACTAAAAGGTATGAAGCAAAATTTACTATCAAATAGTTATAAGTTTCTCTCTGTTACCAGACTCATCATTTGGCCATGGGTTTTACACGTAACAAAACATGAAAATCTGTGGGCTGAATTCGGTGGGTATGCATAAATCATAATGCATGGCTTTCAATCCGCAACTTCCCTATGTGGACTTTCTTGCCACTGAAAATGAATGCAGAATAAGAATAGGAGATCATAATCAAATCCTTTCCTAGCCAAGATTACAAAATATTATGCCAGCAGTACTTGCACCATTACATCAAATTATCATTATTAAGATTCAGGAGACTCTTTAGGAATGATCGTTTAGCCCTTCGTCTACAACTATTTTTGCATTCCCGGCTAAAAAACAAGCTCTCCTCTCGTAGCAAAAGTGTTTTTGAGTTACTGCTCCTATTTATTTTCTCCGAATTTTTATTTTGAGAGCCCATTGCACCTTTCCATCGGGCAAAGGGATGGACCTTGGTAGGCGAAGTGGCACTTCAAATTCACCCAGAGAGGATAGAGGAGAAGGTAAGTGCAAATTCTCAGGTTCAATGCTCACAGAAAGCTGTCTTGCAACCTGAACATGACAAATAAGTTTAACAATTTTTCTTAACAAAACACATTTAGAATTACTCTGTCGTATGAAACAGCCTAACAGGACAATACCAATATGTGATAAACGCATTTGATACAATATGTCCGAGAACAATTATGCAGAAACACATTTGTTCAGTATAATATCGGTGCCATGAAAATATTACCAACTATATTACAGTTATAAGCAGCTAATCCAATTCAAGTCACTATGAGATTATGTTAGTAGTTGACTAGTTGTGTATTGTATGAATGTCAGCTTCAATACCATGTGCATGGAACAACTATTTATATAAAAGAGAATAGTGTGCAAAAGGAAGTCACAGTGCATTTAAACTATCAGAAGACCTCTTCTACATAGGCATTGAATGGATAGAGTTGTGAATCAACTTGTAAGTATAAACCAAATGTAGCAAAAGGAGGAGAGATTGGGCCGAGTATATATGTCACTAAAAAATTGTGCAGAATTAAGAGCAGCGACCTCGGGAAATTCAGTTATAGTTGTTTTTGGGTTCTATTTACATGTAAAACAGTTGGTGAATAAAAATTAGAGGGTTCTGGATTATGCAGAATTAAGAGCAGCAACCTTGGGGGAAATGCAGTTATAGTTGTTTTTGGGTTCTGTTTACATGTAAAACAGTTGGTGAAGAAAAATTAGAGGGTTCTGGATTTTTTTCTCCCTTCAATGTAGATCTCATTCCTAACAATTACCAATTGATTTGAAGATTATGGTTTTCCCTGCATACTTTTCCTAATTCTTTTTCTGCAGTACAAAAGCAATCAACTTTTCCCAGATATATCCAATAAAACATTCAGTTTTACCTACCATCCAAACACTAGGTATTAATCACAGAAGCAAAAACATAAGAAAAGATGGATACACAAAGACAGAAGATAAACATCGCATACGCTTTCTCAGTACAAAAGGCTAAAGGAAAAAGGAAAACAGAAGGGTAAAACATCCATGCCAAGAAATCTTACCTCATCTACAATTTCTTCTTTTGTTACAGGTTCTCGTATCTCATTGTCAACCTTGATGAATTTTCTGACAACCTATAAGTGAAGCAGGTTAGATAGGGAAGGAAAGTTTAGGAAAACAAGTGGTCCATAGTTGATTCTCATTGCCCTTAGAACTTCTAAGATGACACATGAACTTTATCCGCAGGTCATTTATCTTTTACCCCTTCCCAAAAGAATAAATTGCAAAAAAAAAAAAAAAAAAAAAAAAAAAAGTATAATAGAAAGCATCCACAAAGGAAAAACTTTCAAGGTAGAGACTAAAAGCTTTTGGCTGGGGATACTCACCACTTTAGTTCTATCAAGGCGATTGGCTGCTGCCTGGTATTCTTTCATCCTATCTTCCTTGGTCTGTGGAACCACTTTAACCTCTTCATCTTCTTTTGGTTGGTAAATCTGGCCAAAGGAGTGATATACTACAATGATTAATATTATGCACACCACATACAAGGGCAATATTGGCACTAAATGAAAGGAAAAGTATTGGAGAAATAAATTATTATTCTGTTTTAATGGAAAAAAGAAGATAGATACATTCCATATGACTAATGTTTCCGCTAGGGAATCATGTGGCTGCACCGATGCACTCACATGTATAAGCTTGTGGCTGAAAGGTAAAGGTTTCATTCTTTAGAAATATAAGCATATGGAAGAGGTATTTGATCACAATAGGTAAATAGTCTCCACTGAAACAAGAGATAAAGTGGTAATTTCATTTTCAGATAGAGAAATTAAAGTCATTAATACACATATACTCACTAAAACTTAAGTGAGGACACACCAACTTTATTCTATTAGCCTGCAATATCGGTTCCACATGGGTTTACAGGCAAACTGGACAAAATTTACAAAAGATTTGAAAATTAACATGAGATTTTCTTTAATCATAAACAAATGACACATAATTTCCCCCTCTTTTTTTATTGGTACATTTAGGAGAGTGGACCTGTGATCACAGTATGTCTTTGGCTCAGAATTTCCTTAGTTTATAACAGAAATGCCAAACATATAAGAGGAAATTGCACAACTGTATAGAAAAGTAAAGGAAATATTCAGTTTGAGGGTTCAAAAACCTTGCGCTGATCTTCGAGGAGATGCCGATACTTATCAATGTTAGGGACAGCAAGCAACTTTGGCATCAGATGGTTCCGAAAGAAACCCGGTGCAACCTTCACAGTATCGCCGACCTTTCCAAGCTTGCCAATGCTCTAATACATAATGAAACTAATAATCAATTAAAAATGGTTTAAAATGCGTGCAGGACTTCTGGATTTTCTCAAAATCAATCAAATAAATTGGTAAAAATAACAAAAACCAACTCACACTGGTGAGAATGACTTCCACTTTTCTGTAGCGGACGCCTTGAACGGCGTAGAAGAGTGGGTGGTGGAGCACTCCATCAGACGCAGTCTTCAGTTGGCGGCGGACGGCATTTCTGCCGATTTGTGCATAGGCCATTATTTTAGGCTGTGAAATTGACAACAGAATCGTAAGAGAACAGCGTACAGCACTGCTGCCTTACGCCCTTGCCTGCCTGTTCAAAGGTATGATCTGCCGCCGGCGTGCGGTGGCGATGGGTGAGTCCGGCGGACTCCGGGCGACTGACTGGTGAGTGGCGAGGGCTGAGTTGCTGACTTCAGCTTAGGTGAGTCGCATTGGCGATGAATTATTTGATATACCGATTAGGATTTTGGGATTTAGGTTTTAGGCTTATTTGGGTTTTGGAATGGGTAATGGGCTACAGGAAGTTATGGTAAGCATGGTTGGCCAATTGCCAGACCTAACCATTGGCTTGTAATTACGGTAAATTATTGTGTGAACCATAATCCATACAATGCTATGTGAACCATAATAAAAAGTATATTTTTAAATATTAAATGTATATTATTTTTGTATTGTATGTATATTATATAAAAGAAATAAGGGTCAAATAGGCCATCGAACTGCACACAATAATGCAATTAGGCCACTAAACCTAAAAAAATAACAATTCGGTCCCTAAACTAATCATTTTCATACAATTAAGTCAATTTACAGATTTTGCAAGTTAGTAACAGGTCACCCAAATTTTAAAATATATTTTTTTTAATTATTATTTAAAAATAATAATTTAAATTAAAAAAAAAAAAAAAAAGTTTAACCCTCTCCGCCGGAGACGAGTTTCTTTGTCTCAATGGCCGGAGACGAAGAGACTCTCCGTCTCCGGCCATGGAGACGAAGAGTTTCTTCGTCTCCGGCTGTGGAGACGAAGAAGGTTCTTCGTCTCTGGCTGGAGACGAAGAAGGTTCTTCGTCTCTGGCCGGAGACGAAGTAACTTTCTTCGTCTCCATGGCCGGAGACGAAGAAACTTTCTTCGTCTCCGGCAGAGCGAAGAAACCTTTTTTTTTATTTTAATTTATTATTTTTAAATAATAATTTAAAAAAAAAATATTTTAAAATTTTTGGGTGACCTGTTACTAACCTACAAGACCTATAAATTAGATTAATTGAGTGAATTTTGTTAGTTTAGTGGCCTAATTGTTGTTTTTTAAGGTTCAGTGGCCTAATTGTATTATTGTGTGCAGTTCAATGGCCTATTTGACCCTTATTCCTTATATAAAATAATGTACACTCAGTACAAAAATAATGTACATTATTTTTGTACTGAATGTACAATATTTTTGTATTGAATGTATATTCTTTTACAATTTACAAAATATGGTTCATACAACTTGTGTGGACCAAGGTCCACACAATAATGATTGTTGTAATTACATTTTATCTGTGTACTAGTTCTTTTATGTGCTTTGCGCGAATGGAGTAATGCCTAATGATTATTTTTAAATAAGTATTTCAAAGTATATCAATGTAATATTATATCGGAGATGTTCATGCATATGTAAATAAATATTGAATTTGTTTATTTAAATCAGTAATTTAAAGTATGTAAATGCAATATAATATATGAGAGATTGACTATATTGTCACTAAAATAAATGTTTGCAACTTTGTAATAACGCTAGTCTAAAAACGATAGTCTAAATAAATACTATTTTTTATTTAAATTTCTCTAATTCTTCTTAATTCTCTTTTGGGTATCACTGTCATTGTTTTCATCTTTAGTACATGTCCATTTTTTTTTATTGGTGGTGTGTTATGTGCAATTGGGTTACTGGTGGTAGCATAGATGGATATGTGTAGGAAGCTTTAGACTTGCCTTGTTGTGTATATGATATGATCTTAGTTGTACTATTAACTCTTTATCTTACAAGCACCTATTGATATTTGATAGTGGTAGCTTTAGAATATAACATATATAATAATATATAATAATAATTTTAAATATAATAAAAAATAACTAATAAGATATCAAAATAACTAACTAAAGTCTTGTGATTCAAAATAACAACAACAATAATAATAAGTGGTATAGTAGTGGTGGTGATGGTAGTGGTAGTGGTAGTTGTGTTATTTGTTATATAATAGTAACAACAACAACAACAACAACAACAATAATATCTACTATCTACTATACTAATAAGAGCCCAATAGAGTTAGGCCTATAATGGGCAGAAAAAATGACGGTCAAATTTTTTAATCAAATGAATGGCTCAGATTGATCAGATTTTAATTTTTTCTTAAGATTTCCTAATTTATCCTTAATGAATATGATTATCCGTTAACTTTTTCATTAAATATTATATTTTCCGTCACCGGAAAAGTTAACGGATAATCATATTCATTAAGGATAAATTAGGAAATCTTAAGAAAAAATTAAAATCTAATCAATCTGAGTCATTCATTTGATTAAAAAAATTAGGCAATCTTGACTATATTATCTTGCATTTATAAACTTAGAATTACCTATTTAAATACGCAAATTTAACATTCAATTATCTATGCATGAACAATTTCAATATAATCTTGCCGTGATATATTTTAAAGTACTTATTTAAAAAAAAAAACATTGGGCATTATCTTAATCGCGCAATGCGCGTAAAAAACTAGTTATAATAATAAAAAGTGGTATAGTAGTGGCGGTATATTGGTGGCAGTGTCTTGGTGGTGGTGGTGTAGTGATAGTGGTAGTTGTGTTATTTGTTATATAATAATAATAATTACTGGTGGTGGTATGGCGATGATGGTGATGGTGTGGTTGCAGTGGTATGGTGGTGGTGGCGACGGGGGTGGTGGTAGTGACCTAAGGTGGTGGTGGTGTAAAAGTTGGAAAAATGACTTCAAAAAAAAAAAAAAAAAAAAAAAAATAGGGAAAGTCATTTTCCTCCAAAACAAACATGTTTTCCAAAAGTCCACGGAAAATAATTTCAGTTGACTTGATTTTCAAGGCACATCCAAACACTGAAAATTCAAAAAATGATTTATATAAATCATTTCCCGGGTTTCCAAACACAACCATGGTAAGATTGTTGATATAAGTACATAACAATCCTTACTCCATGTATTACCCACCTCACTAAGTTAGTTTCATGAAAATTGAGTGGTGTCATATAAATGGAATTTATAACGCCAAAATTGCGCCATCTTATATTTCTAATTGATCAACTTCTTCCACCAAACATAATTTTGTGACATTCATCATTTGACATTTGATAATCTATATAATATTTTGTTTGATTTCTAATTATTTCATTATGATCTCTCTCACTATGACGTATGAAGGCAAATATATCGAAAGGTATCATCTCTTATAAGCTTTAGATCGAAAATTTGTTTTATTTGTACTTTAAATTATTCTTAATCCATGGAGGTGTATCTCATTGGTCTTACCCTTATAATTTTATTTGTGCTTTTTAGTTATATCCTAGCATATGATCTTCTCAATTGTTATTCCAAAAATGCTAATAGATTTATGGATTAGCATAAATTACACTTTTTTGTGCGTGTGTTTCAAAGATATATTTGAGTTGTATCACTCATTTATTATTATTATTTTTTAAATCTAGAGATGCTTCTTTTAGCTCTTAATTCGCATATGATCTCAAAAGATTCAATGTTTACACTTTATTTTCCTTTTGGAAATTCAAGAATTTGATTTTAGATTATTTATAAACATCATTCAAAGTTAACAATATTTGAATTAAAGAGTCAAAACATTAGAAAAATTCCTTAGTCAATAAAATCATGTTAGTTTAGCTATATCGCCACTTTTTTATTTTTTATTTTTGAAAATATTGGTTCAATACGGTCACACTTAGTTGAAATAATAACAAATGTGTCATCACATTACATAGTAATTGACAAAAAATTAAAATTACATATTTGACATTGTTGATTCATTCAAGAGTGTTAAACGAATTGACAAAAAGAATTAATTAGTTTAGATGAATTTTATACGTGACTTGATCATAATATATTAAACTCATTTGACATCTAATCTGAAATCATCAAAGGAGTTTGAATTACAAATAAATATATATATAACAAAAAATCATGACTTGGTCATAATATATTAAACTCATTTGACATCTAATCTAAAATAATCATAGGAATTTTTAAAAAAATAATAAAAATCAAAGGAGTTTGAATTACAAATAAATATATATATAAAAACATTGCCAAATCACTAGTACTAGTAAAATATGTTGCATTGTCAACATGAACATATACGTCACTGCCTGCGAATTCCTACATTGACAACGTTCAAATCTCCAAAAAACAATACAAACTTTTGTATTAAAATGGCCAATAAAAATACTACTCCATATTTCTAACCTAACAAAAATGTAAAAATTTATGAACAATTGTAAGTCAAAGGAAGGAATGATTGACTCTGATCTTGTAACAATTTATTGATTCAAAATGCTAATATTTAAAAAGTTGTTCAAAATAATTTTTTTGCGAAAGTCATTTTGCATGTAATCAGCTAACAATTAATAGATAGTTTACCAAATACTTTTCTATAATCAACTATTCAAATTCACTAACCCAATCAGCTAACAGTTATTTACCAAACACTCCCATAATAGTTAACTATGCCAAATCTGTATACTTATGAAAATAAATAAAAAAGTGTGTAAATTTTTTACCTAAAATATCTATTGGAAAAAAAAATAGGGGGGGGGGGAGGGGGGGGGGGATATTTACATTTTATTAGAATATGTGATTTTGTTGACAAACAAAAAAATTACTTTCCCCATAGCGTAACCATTTCAAACAATAGCTCTCTCAATCTCCTTGTAGATTTTGATTTTGTGGTTATATATACATATATATTGAGTGGAGAAGAAAGTGGATATTACTACTTTGTCCTCCAATTTTATTGTACGTACCAAAAAAAAAAATAGTGATTGCTTTAGATACTAATAGTGTCTCAAATTCAGAGGATCTTTAGTGAAATTTACTCTAAAAAAATCATTTAAAACTTATTTTCAACAATAAAATTATAATTGAATTATTGACACGAACATTAGGTCCGTAATATAATTCTACAAAATCAAAAAATATAAAAATATAATAAGTTTCAATCAAATATATATTCCTCATTTATGTCCATGTTTTTAATGCTAATCATTTTGTACCTTATGCTTTTTAGAGTTGTACTATATAATTTTTTGAACAAAAATACCCTTACCGTTATAACTCCCGTTATCTTTTCCATTATTGTTAACATGCACATGCATCCTCCATATATTTTATTATATTCTTTAATATATATATATATATATATATATATATATATTGGATTATTATAATAAAATTAAACTTGATTTCATATAGATTTTAATTAGTAGAGATTTATTAGTTATTTAAAAAAATATAAATATTGGACATATATTTTTGCACAGCGCGTATAGAAAAGACTAGTAAAAAATATGTGTTATAAAAAGATGGGGGATAAAGTACAAATAAGTCACTGACTATTAGGAAAATAATAATTAAATCATCGAACTCAAATAACCCCCAAATAAGGCATTGAACCCGAAAAAAAGGAGCAATTAATATTTTTAACAACTTAACTCTATTTTTGTTGATTAGATTGCCAAATGTTTATTATTATTATCCACATGGATAGTATTATATTTTAAAGTAATTATAATAAAAATAGTTTTGTTTTGTCAAGATTTGATTGATTCAATTATTATTATTTTTTCATTCTCCTGTTTAAAAATAATAATAAACAAATAAATTATATCTAAACAAGACAGAAACTATTTTGATTATAATTATTTTAAAATATATTACTATGTAGGTGGATTATAATAAAAAATGTAAATAAAATAAATATTTGACATTTTAGTCAGTAAAAACATAAAGTTAACTTGTTAAAAATATTAATTATTCTTTTCTTTTAAATTTAATGATTTATATAAAAATTATTTGAATTTGATGACTTAATTGCTGTTTCTCTTATCCCTAAAAAGAAAAAAAAAAAAAAAAGGAATAAGGTTCAAATTGGCCACTGAACGTAACATGAAAATGCAATTAGGCCACTGAACGAAAAAAAGATGCAATTAGACCACTGAACACCCAAAAACGTGCAATTAGGCCACTGAACACTCCAAATGTATGCAATTTCACCGAATAGCAGGTTACCATCAATTTTAGCAGGTTACCTGCTTACGTGGCGGCTGAGTTGGCATTTTTCATAATTTTTAATAACTTTTAATAATAATTTTTTTTTTTGAAAAAAATTGAAAATCAATAAATAAATAAATTTTAAAAAAATTAAATTTGTTTTAAATAATTTTTTTTAAAAAATTTTATTATTAAACTTTATTAAAAATTATTAAAAATGCCAACTCAGCTGCCACGTAAGCAGGTAACCTGATAAAATTGATGGTAACCTGCTATCAGGTGAAATTGCATACATTTGGAATGTTCAGTGGCCTAATTGCACTTTTTTTTCGTTCAGTGGCCTAATTGCATTTTCAGGTTACGTTCAGTGGCCAATTTGAACCTTATTCCAAAAAAAAATGCCGGCGAAACATCATGATTTCGCGCCGGTGAAAGAGATGGGCAGATGGCCCTCCCTGATAGTGAAGACAGACGGGAGCTTGACGTTTGCAATGGATAATATTTTTTTAATTTTTTTAAGAGTTAATACCTAAAATCGTCCTTGACTATAGTGGTTTTTCTCAATTTCGTCCTAAACGACTTTGGTGACCTAATATCGTCCCACATTTTTGTGTTTTGCTTAATTTAGTCCTCCATTTGTTATTCCGTCAAATTGGTGTTAAATAAAGGGACAATTCAGTAATGTCAATATTGATCTCTCTTTACTTTCAACTTGTAAAGTGGAAAATTCCTCTTTCTTGTACGAATTACACCCATAACTACTCTCGGACCTGCGAATCAAATTTTATATTCGCAGTTTTAGGAGTAATTCTGTGAGTAATTTGTAAAAAAAAAAAGGATTTCGCAGTTCACATGTCTATGAGTAAAGAGATGCCAATATTAAAATTACTGAATTGTCTATTTATTTAACACCAAATGGACAGAATAACAAATGAGGGACTAAATTAAGCAAAAACACAAAAGTCTGGGACTAAATTGAGCGAAACACAAAAGTGTGGGACGATATTAGGTCACCAAAGTCGTTTAGGACGAAATTGAGAAAAACCACTATAGTCGAGGACGATTTTGGGTATTAACTCATTTTTTTAATGAAAAAAGTTTACTCATAAAATTTTATCGGGCACGGTACGGATGACTAATTATGAGGACTTGCAGAGTAATTATTATCAAATAATTAATAATTGCAACCGTAGTCCCTGGACATTTTACCATACCTGACGAGAAAGAGATTGGTCGATTTGAAAATAGCAGCGAGTATCGGGTTCATTTAGAAAATATTACTGAGTACAGGGGCTATTCTAGAAATATCAGTGAGTACGGGGTTGATTTTGGATTTCTGAGAATGTTTCCTTAACTGTCTGTATTGGAAGAATAAATGCATTTCAATGCGTACACGTTGCAACACAGAAGAGCATCTTATTCTGGAAAGATTTCTTTCTCGACTTTTCCTATCGCAGGAATGCAGCTCTAGACCGTTAGCCGTACTCTCGAAGGTAAATAATCTTCTCTCCAGTTTTCGCACTCCGCTATCACTTTCGTTCTGCCTCGAAGATCAAATAAATTTTCGTGAATCCGAGCATGTTGTAATCAGTATGATCTCGATCGGCTTGTTTTTAGTGTTCTAGCGAGAATTTTTCGATGCTCTTGAATTTGTTACTATCGCCGCTGACCGTGCTCTGAATTTCTTGTTTGCAAATAGAGCCGCTAGAGTTGTTGCGGATTTCGGAAGCTTGACGATCACGGCGTTCGTTTTGTTTGCTGCCCTTTAGGTATTCGGCGTTTGCGTATTTTTACGAGTGAGATGATTACGGATTCCAGTTATTCTGATCTATCTTACTTCACTCGTTTGGATTTTTTTGGTTGTAAATGAAAATGTGTAGTGATGCGGATTTCTCAGAGCAGTCAGGAAGATTTTATTTTTTTCCCCATTTTTTTGCGTTTTCATTGTATTCTGGCAATTTTCTTACGTTGTAAACTTGGTTTATGTTGTGAGAAAGGCTTTCTCCTGGGACTGTTGGCAAGTGTGTCTAGATATATTCTTTTTTGGCGTCACAAATGCAGCAATTGACTTTCTAACAATTGTTTTAAAGCATTGCTGCTTATTGTTTTTTTTTTTAATGGTTCATTTTGTGTAGCTTTTATGTTGTTAGACTAATCTGGTGTTGAATCTTTTTCTGGACAGTTGCTCATTCTGTAAAAGGAGAAGCATATAGATTGCAAAATGGAAGGGCCTGAAGGAAGTACCCCAAATACAACTATTTTGGGGACAACTGATAATAATGTTAAACTATTTGCAGTTATTGCTGCTATTAGTATACCCATCATACTTTCCATGGCCCTCTCAGGGAAGAAGAAGTCAAGAAAGAGAGGGGTTCCAGTAGAAGTTGGTGGTGAGGCAGGTTTTGCAATGCGTAATGCTAAGTATACCCAATTGGTGGATGTTCCCTGGGAAGGTGCCACTACTGTGGCAGCTCTATTTGAGCAGTCCAGCAAAAAGCATTCGCGGGAACGTTTCCTTGGAACAAGAAAAGTAATAGGTAGGGAATTTGTAGCAGGAAGTGATGGAAGGAAGTTTGAGAAGCTTCACTTGGGAGAGTACCGTTGGGAAAGTTATGGTCAGATATTTGATCGTGCTTCCAACTTTGCATCTGGTCTTGTTAAATTGGGTCATGATGTGGACACTCGGGCTGCTATTTTCTCTGAAACTCGTGCAGAGTGGTTCATTGCCTTTCAGGTAGCCTTGTTAACTGTTATTTATACAGTTTTATCTTTGAGTTCCAAATTGTTTTGAAAAATGAAAAATGTTTTTTTTTTCCTGCTTCAACTTCAGGGATGCTTCCGCCAAAGTATTACTGTTGTTACCATTTATGCTTCTCTAGGGGATGATGCTCTTATACACTCTTTAAATGAGGTGGGCATATGTTCAGTGATGTCAAAATTCAAAGAATTCTAATTCTTCTTGATTTTTTTTATTTTTTATTTTTTTATTTTTGCTAGTTTGTTTAATGGCCTTTACTTTTGACAGACTCAAGTGTCCACACTAATTTGTGATTCCAAACAACTGAAAAAGTTAGCTGCGATTAGTTCAAGCTTGAAAAGCATCAGGAATGTCATTTATTTTGAAGATGATGAGACTGCAAATGATTCCAACCTTTCTAAGCCTACTGGAAACTGGACGGTGTCTTCTTTTTCTGAAGTTGAAAAGCTTGGTAAAAATGCACCTATTAATCCTAGACTGCCTATCAAGACTGATATTGCTGTCATCATGTATACAAGTGGCAGTACAGGATTGCCTAAGGTTTGAACCAGCTTCACTTATGTTAATTGCACAGGGATATTATTGTTGTTAATCTCACCACACACACAGAGGCTGCTAATTTTAAGCTTAATATACACAGACATACACAACAAGGTTTGATGACACTTGGCCTTTGACCTTCCCTAATGAGTTTGCAGTGCATGGGCCATGGGCCATACTTCATGTGTATGGACACTTATGAGCCTTGAAGTTGAAATCTAATATATGCCTGGTCAATGATTTATCAAGATTTGAGATCACTCTCATTATCTCTTTGGTACAAAATAATCCTCAAGAAAGTAATGCTTAAGACTGCATAATACTAATAGTGGTCTTTTGAAGCTGTAATGCAATTTGAAAAACAAGGAAGACATTGAGTGCCCATAAGCATAACATGTTGAGTCATTCATTTCCATTTTTCTATGCTGCTTATTTCTGTCAATGCTTCAATGTTAATAACTCTATTAAGTACTTGAAAATTTTCCCTCTCCTCAATGTTAGTGATGCTTTGTATACTTAACTAAGTGACTTTTTTTATAAGACAGGGTGTTATGATAACTCATGGCAACATTGTAGCTACATCGGCTGCAGTTATGACTGTGATCCCAAACCTTGGAACCAATGATGTCTATGTGGCATACTTGCCTCTAGCTCATGTTTTTGAATTGGCTGCTGAGGTAACACCCAGAAGAAAATGATCTTTTCTTGATTTCTGATTTCATGCTATAGTGAGAAACGTTGCTATGTTCTCATTGTCCTGCAGATTGTGATGATGGCTGGTGGTGCTTCAATTGGCTATAGTTCAGCATTGACGTTAACAGACACATCCAATAAAATCAAGAAAGGAACCCAGGGAGATGCTTCAGTGCTAAAGCCTACTCTAATGACATCTGTTCCTGCCATTCTCGATCGTGTTAAAGATGGAGTAATAAAGAAGGTGTAACAGGACGCATATTTATGATTCTTAATTTCTTATGTGCAGTGGCAATTTAGTCTGTGTATTGGCTTAAATGTGTATTGGGCTATCTTTTTTGCTGGATTAGGTTGATGAGAAAGGAGGTTTTGCTAAAAGCCTGTTCAACATTGCTTTTAAGCGCCGACTAAAAGCTATAGAAGGAAGCTGGTTTGGTGCAAGAGGCCTAGAAGCTCTATTGTGGGATATTATCATTTTTAAAAAGATTCGATCAGTACTAGGGGGGAAAATACGTTTCATGCTTTGTGGTGGAGCTCCTTTGTCTGGAGAAACACAAAGGTTCATCAACATCTGTGTGGGGTAACTTTTCTTTTTATCTTGTGCTGATGTATTATATCTTATTTTAAAAATAATGTCTGATTATTTTCTGTGCATGAGTGACACGACTGGCAGAGTTACTATATGCTTTTCATCAGCTTTCCATACCTCATGTTTTATGGTTAGAGTTGATGGTAGTGATTGGTTTGACAGAACTCCAATTGGACAAGGTTTTGGGTTGACAGAAACCTTTGCTGGAGCTGCTTTTTCTGAGGCGGATGATGTTTCTATTGGGCGTGTTGGTCCACCACTTCCTTGTGCCTATGTCAAGGTATGGTGACTTCTCTGTGACAAGGAAACAATTAGATTCAGAATGGAATGTTTAGACTACATCTAAGCCTGCATGCTGCATAACCAAAGTACCAAACACATGAACATGTCATCTTTAAAAAATTGCATTTGATCTGCTGCCTTCTTGTGTTAATGTATATACAGGTAGATTCAATTTGTCATGTTATGTCTGCAAATATAGTAAATTAAATCCCAAATTTTCACCCCTCCTATATTAGATACAACTGAGTTTGTACCTACCTCCTGTTGTAGCCATCCAAACCATTACAAAATGCTAAAACTGACAATCTTTAATTAACATACATCATTTTATTTTGCCTCACAACATGTGTTGAACTTCTAGTGATTTAATGATTCAATGCCATTGAAATGATAGCAAGGCAAAGAAAAATTCTCAAGAATATAAATTTACTCTGCTTCACTATCTAGCTGGTCCACAGATAATGGATTTCTAGTGATTTCCTTCAGGCAAGAGATTTGTTTTATTCGTTATACAAAGTAACTCTCTACATAGGCTGAGGCAGACAGGCTAAAAAAGTGAGGGCAAAGTTAACTTTCATTGCTATTCCTTCCTTTTACCCCCTTTTAGGGGTAAATACTAAACTCTAGAGAATTGGCCATTTTTGTTTCACGTTGCTTTTGTATGAAGTTTCTTGAGTCCAAAATTGCAGCTTATTTCTTGGGAAGAAGGTGGTTATACAATAAATGACAAGCCAATGCCCCGAGGAGAAGTTGTTGTTGGTGGATGCAGTGTTACCTCTGGCTACTTCAATAATGAAGTGAAAACTAATGAGGTGTACAAAGTAAGTACACAATTTCTGCTTTAGTGAGCACAAATGAAAAACCATAATTTCATGAGTGGTTTTATGCCCAACTCCTTTACAGGTTGATGAAAGGGGTATGCGATGGTTTTACACTGGTGATATTGGAATGTTTCATCCTGATGGATGCCTTGAAATTATTGATAGAAAGAAGGATATTGTAAAACTTCAACATGGGGAGTACATCTCTCTTGGAAAGGTATAGATGGATGTTTCTTTCCCAGTCCCCCCTCTCCTCTCCTTTTGGTGTCTTATTTGTAAGCTATCCCTTGTTACCTGATATTATGCTTTACAAGAAACCCCACTGGAAAGCTTCAATGCCATGTTGACAAATCATCAATATGAAACATATATACGATAACCTGTTGTGTTCTGTTTTACAATATTTCTTGGTCATTGGGGAAGAGCTTTATTCAGTTTTCACGTGTGGGTTTCCCCCTCTTTCACTGATTCCTTACTTCCTTCTTTCTTTTTTTTTTTTTTTTTTTTTTTTTTTTTTTTTCTTTTCTTTTCTTGCTTTTCATGTTTTCTCAGGTTCACTCTCTTCCTTTTTATTTCTACTTTTATATTCCTCGGTAGATGGGGCACTAATCAAATATCTGGTGCTTAATCACAGGTTGAGGCAGCACTTATGTCAAGCAATTATGTGGATAACATAATGGTCTATGCTGATCCCTTTCACAATTATTGTGTAGCTCTAGTTGTTCCTTCACAGCAGATCCTTGAGAAATGGGCACAGGAAAACAGTATAGAGTACAGAAATTTTTCTGAGTTGTGTGACAAAGCAGAAGCCATCAAAGAGGTTCAGCAAGCTCTATCTCAGGTTTGTGTCCTCTCTTTAGATAAATGTAAATGAATCCTAACTACATTAAATGCCCATTTTTTAAGGTTTCTGAAGTAGTGGGTGAATTTCTTTTTAATTGTCCCAAGTATAGTCGAAATGCCCAAAACGTCACACCACTAGCTATAAGATATTATTTGCTGCCCAAAGCCCTCTGTTCTATTTTCTACTTAGGACGACTTTCACCTACAGTTCCATCATTCGACCACAAAACCATGGAAAACAAGAAAGAGATGCTAATAATTGCCACTGCACATTAAAACCACCAGCCATATCTGTTGATACTTTATATCACAAACAGCATGAGCTCAAGCGCCCCTTTTTTCATTGTTTCAATTGTTCTAGCGATTTCCTTCTTTGGTCTGATTATTGTCCAGATAACCCAGATTCCCCGGGCTTTTGACTGAAACGGGAAGGAATTAAGACATGTGGACAAAAATAGGATGCTTTTAGAAGTTGGGAAAACCTAGGAAAACTCGTTTGGGACTCGAGTTTTTGGTAAAAAAAACACAAGTCCCTAACGAGTTTGTCAATTTTCTGGAATCATTGTTTTCGCCTAAAATACGACAACTTGCATATCTCGTATGTATATATATTTCAAAAAATTGACAAACTCGTTTGGTGCTTGCGTTTTTTACCAGAACTGAAGTTCTAAATGAGTTTTTCCTAGATTTGTCCAACTTTTAAAAGCATCATTCTATTTTTGTCCATATGTTTTAATTCCTTCCCATTTCAGTCAATAGCCCCCAGATTCCCCACCCTGACGCTTGCTTTGTGTACAGATGTATATTTAGTATAAATACATGAATAGTCATTTATCTTTGAAATACATTATTGGTCTCTTTTTTTTTTTTTTTTTTTTTGGAAAAACATTATTGGTCTCTTAGAAATTGTAGAATAAAGAAGTTTTGTATGTTAATGACTTAATGTATGTAGAAATGTAGAAAACATGTACAGTGTCATATATATTTGTGATACTCTCTATGATGTGTCATGCTTTGACCCCTTAATATAAAGGAATGGTCATGTTTTTTTTTCCCTCCAATAAAGGGAGTTGAAGTAGTATTTTTCTATATTTATATACATAGAAGCTATACTCCGAATGGGCCTGCCTAGGCTATTATTCCAACACTAGGGCTATTTTTGTGTACTCACTGATGACATGGAAGGTAAATTAAAGTAAATTGTAACTGAAACTTGTAGTGGGGTCAAAACTTAATAGTCCTCGGAAATTTACTTCAACAATGTACAGGTAGCCAAAGCTGCAAGATTGGACAAGTTTGAGACTCCTGCGAAGATTAAGCTAATACCAGAGCCATGGACTCCAGAATCTGGATTAGTTACAGCAGCTCTTAAATTAAAGAGGGAGCCGATCAAGGCCCGGTTTAAGGAGGAGCTTGATAAATTGTATAAATGATGAGTCAACTTTCTTTAATCTGATTCGCTTTAAGCTCATCAGTATGGCTCCATGTTCTTCCTTCGGAATCAGCATTATCAATTTATGTCTCAGACTCCTGCCACAGTTTCTTTGTATTCTCCATGAAATGCTGAGCGTGTAATAATTTTCTGCTGCGAGTACTTCCATTCCTATTTCTTGCGTTGTATATATTCATTTTATGTCGGTACACCTTTACATTTGGATTATGGAGAATGCTCATTTCATATGCCCTTTACCTGTGGCAAACAGTTAATGACCCTGTTTGGTAAAATAGTTAGCCGTCAATTTTGACTTATTTGATCAGTTGTTTGACTTGGTTAAACAATTAATATGAGTGTTTAATTAATTAGTTTTTTGTAATAATTTATGCTAAAATTTAAAAAGCTGTTCAAAGTAGTTTTTTTATCATATTTTTTGAGAAAGTCATTTTGTATGTAATAAATTAATAATTTATGTTAAAATTTAAAAAACTGTTCAAAGTAATTTTTTTATCAAACTTTTTGAGAAAGTCATTTTGTATGTAATAAGTTAACAGTTAATTTACCAAACACTTTTCTAGAATAAGATAATCATATTTATTTTCTGTGTTTCTCCTTCTTGCTTATGACGCAATATATAATGTAACTGAAGTAATATTATTTCGTGGCTCAAGGAATATTGAAAAATCAACTTGAACAAATAGGTTGTAAATCTAAATTTGTGTTTCTCCTTCTTGCTTATGACGCAATATATAATGTAACTGAAGTAATATTATTTCGTGGCTCAAGGAATATTGAAAAATCAACTTGAACAAATAGGTTGTAAATCTAAATTTTTTAACGATGGAATAAATTGAATAAAATTACTTCTAAATTGCAATTCCGTACTACGTACAGCTTCGTAAAAATCTGCCCCAAAAAAAAAAAAAAAGGGAGCGAAGTCAAAATTAACTGTCAAAACGAACCTGCAATGCTGACTCCTGAGTCCTGACCTTATGTCACCCCATGAGTAGAGTGTAGAGATAAGGTTTAAGCGGGTTGGTTTTATCTTCTTCTCCGTCTGTCTCTGTGGCTTGCTTGCTTGCTTCCCTCCCTCGCTCTTCAGCCATGCCTGAAGCTTCTACCATCTTCCAATCCACTCTCCTCCCTCCTTTCTCTCAGTCTCGCAGAGCCCTTTCCAGTCCGATCTGTCACACATTCTTCAGAAGGAACCCAACAAGTTTCACCACCATACGGTGTTCCTCAGTTTCCACCGAGGCCGCAAAAATCCAGACAGTCCCTTGGGGTTGTGATACCGACTCCCTCGACAACGCGTCGGCTTTGCAGAAATGGCTGTCGGACTCGGGTATGCCTCCTCAGAAAATGGCCATACAGAGAGTGGATATAGGAGAGAGAGGTCTCGTTGCTCTCAAGAACATCAGGAAGGGAGAGAAGCTGCTCTTCGTGCCTCCCTCGCTCGTCATTACTGCCGATTCGGTAATCTTATCACTCAATTCTGCTTCAATGTATTGCTCGAGACTGGATTATTATTATATACAGTTGTTTTCTAGATGCTAGCTCAGAATTTGGTGATTATTAAATTGAAGACTTGCTGAAGTCGGTTTTGGTTTTCATTTTCATTTTCCATTGTTTGATATTAGGAATGGAGTGTACCAGATGCTGGTCAAGTGTTAAAACGTTATGGTGTACCTGATTGGCCGTTGATAGCAACGTATTTAATCAGCGAGGCAAGTCTGATCAAGTCTTCAAGATGGAGTAACTATATCTCTGCCTTGCCTACACAGCCTTACTCGCTTTTATATTGGTGAGCTCTTCGCTCTTGTCTATTGATTCCTTCCTGGTCCGGAGAAAAATTCATTTAGACATCACAGGTTCTTCCTTCTTCTGCTACATAAATCATAATGGCTCGATTCTCAGTTGGTTCTCTCTACAGCTGCTGTATATCATTTCAGGACTCGATCAGAGCTCGACAGGTATCTGGAAGCATCACAAATACGGGAGAGAGCCATTGAAAGAGTGAATGATGTTATTGGAACGTATGTCTTCTTTCCTTCAATCCTTAACAAACTAGAATATGGATTTGATGCTACCTTAATTAAGAGAACTCAATGTTTTCAGTGTATATTCAATGCTTTGGTTACTACTGAGCTGTTTTCTTATTTCTTCTGCAGGTACAATGACTTGAGGCTCAAAATATTTTCCAAGCATCCTGAGTTATTTCCCGAACAGGTACTTGTAGGAGTTATTTATGCTTATATTGAATTATATCTATATGCAACATCTTATTTTTCTGTAACTTGTGGGACTGACTGATTGAGAATCATGGTGATTTTGGAGATTGGTAGTTGTTAATGAGATACATGGCAGTTTGAGGCATTTTCTTAACCTGACAAGAAATGTTTTGTTGTATTGATGTGATGGCAATGTCAATTATTGGACATCAGTCTGTTTTGATGTAGTCACTAGTCAAGCTACCAAAGCAACACACTGTATATAAGTTGAGAACTACTAAATGTTCAACAAATGAATGTATTATTTGTAGCTAGTCTGTTGTGTTTGCGAGCGAGAAGAGAAAGTTAAATAAGAGGTCCACTTAATCACAATTTCAAGGCTTTTCATTGGGTCTCTAACCTAATAACAAGACCAAAGCAATTTGATGGTTCTACTCCCAAAGATTAACCAATTTGGACCTGTCTTAATGTCTTGACGAAAAGTTCATAGCAGGGCTGTCAAATTTTTAAAAGTTCATTATCCTGCTTTTTCTCGTAGTGTTGAAAGAGGGAAGGGAGTTCTTATGTGCAAGTTTATATGGCAACTGGAAATTCTTTATTATGAGATTTATTTTGGTGATGCTTTAAGTTGTCACAATAAGGCAAATCCATGTTCCATGTTATTGCAGATATTCAATATAGAGACTTTTAAATGGTCATTTGGCATCCTCTTCTCACGTTTGGTGAGTATTTGATTTTAAACTCTCTGATTGGTTAATTCCTAAAGCTGACAGCTATGCCTAAAGACAAGAGTGATGATTTCAGGTCCGTTTACCCTCAATGGATGGAAGGGTTGCCTTGGTTCCTTGGGCAGACATGCTGAACCATAGTTGTGAGGTATGTCAAGACACTGTTGCAATAAATATTTGTAACAGTGATATACTACAAAATCCTAATTCTAATGTCTTTGAGCTACATTTAATTTGTTAAGGTGGAAACATTTCTGGATTATGATAAATCTTCACAAGGCATTGTGTTCACAACAGATAGGACATATCAGCCAGGTGAACAGGTATGCAGTTCTGTCTTTCTTGTCACACTGACTCATTGAATTATTCACCATTCTGTAAACTACTAGCTTCCAAAGTCATATAGCCTTCATCTCATTAGTCTTCAATTTCCACACTCCCTTTAGATCAAGGTTGATTATATACACATGAACTTCAAAATCAAACAATTGGTAAAAATTCTCCTGGAAGCTTTCTTTTATTTGTTTGATACAATGATGATTACTAGTCAATCGCAATTATTACAATTGATGAATGGCCAAAAATTACAATTACTAAAGCCACAGGTACAATTACAATATCTAATGACAATATCCAACATAAACATGAACTGAAAGGGACAAAGTTCAACTCCCCCCAGTATTTCTTGTGGGAGTTGAACCCATCTCAAAGTGGAGAAGGCATGGTGTTTCCACCATTTACTACTGGACCAAAGGCCTCATTGTCTCTCCTGGAAAATTATACATGCAAAATTTTTCATTCTCATTTACTAGCCTAGCATGTGGTGTAGCTAAAAACTTTATTTTCTGATATTCATCAGACCATTTGGGTTACTACTATACATGTTACCAAATTGCATTGCAGGTTTTTATATCATATGGAAAGAAGTCTAATGGAGAGCTGTTGCTTTCATATGGATTTGTCCCCAGAGAAGGCACAAATCCCAGTGATTCAGTTGAGGTGTCAGTGTCAATTAAGAAGTCTGACAAATGTTACAAGGAGAAGATGGAAGCTTTGAAAAAGCATGGATTATCTACGTGAGTATCTGATTGGTAGTCATCAACATTGTATTTGTGTGGAATGAATAATGATGTGTATCAGTGCAACCTTGTGAATATAGCCTTCGATATCACTGAGTTTGGATGCTCTTCTTGATTTTGGTGTGTATTCTTTTTAAATAAAAACACAAGTTGCAATTTTATGTACATCTAACAGATCAGAACGGTTTCCTGTACAAATTACTGGGTGGCCATTGGAGTTGATGGCATATGCTTATTTAGCAGTCAGCCCCCCAAGTATGAATAGACAATTTGAAGAGGTATGTAACAGATATAATCATGTAAATTCAAGATATATTGTCGGAAATATGATATTACACTGATATGAGATCTATTCCAGATGGCTGCTGCTGCATCAAATAGGACATCATCCAAGAAGGATATCAGGTATCCTGAAATAGAGGAAGATGCATTGCAGTATATTCTTGATAGTTGTGAGTCTGGCATATCGAAGTACTCCAAATTCCTTCAGGTAGTAAAACACTTCCTTCCCCCCCAACAAAATGTAAATAGTTAATTAACTTTGTCGAAAAAGTCTCTTACGAGTGTTACAAAATCTATTTTAAAGGTGCACAAATGTATATTGCATTTACTAAGCTTTCCATTCTGCATGTGTTTTTCTATAAAAGGCGAGTGGGGAAATGGATCTCGATGTAACAAATCCAAAGCAACTTAACAGAAGGGTGTTTCTGAAACAGCTAGCCGTGGATTTGTGCACAAGCGAAAGGAGAATACTATTCCGGGCACAATATGTAAGAGCATATACATACATATTCTGTGTTAGCTCATCAAACTAATGCTTAATCTCAATAGCTGTTTATCAGGGTTGAATCTTAATAATGCTGTATTGGTTGCTTTTCTGCAGATATTGAGGAGGAGATTGAGGGATATAAGGAGTGGTGAACTAAGGGCGCTTAAAATTTTTGATGGTCTGAGAAACCTTTTCAAATGAGAATCTGAGGGGAGGGAAATGGATGGGAATGAAGTACTTAGTTCTAAACATGCCAGTATTTATTTTCGTGTACTCTGATTTTTGAGAATATAAAAATGATGCATCGTTTACTTTCTTTCCTGTTATCTACACATTCCAAATTTTACAAAACTAAACACCCTAATTATATGTATGATCAATGAATTAATAGCTTTTGAGTGCAATCACTACTCCATCGTGTGCAAATTTCAATAAGACACTCTCGTAGATAGTTAAATTTATTACGAAGTCAATAGTCTGACCAATTGAACTATAGTTGCCAAATGAGAGCTTACTTTAGTACAACGTGTTGGAGTGCGTTCCTTGGGTGCCTAGTTTTTTTTTTTTTTTTTTTTTTTTTTAATTTAAGAGATTTTTTTAAAAATATATATATATTTAAGACTTGGTAATTATAAATTATTTAATACTTTAATAGTTAGTTCTAACATATTAAAAAGACGTAAATTTGAACAAAATAGCTTGTTTAAAAAACCACTGAAATTAGCTAACTGGTAGCTTAAACGCCCGTCTAGACAACTGCCTAAGCCGTTGCGACCTAATCGGCGCCTAGGCTGCCTAGGTGGGCTCCTAAAACGACAATTCCACCAAAATTCTAGACGACCGGCATCGCCTAGCGCCCAGGGGGCCCCCCTCCACCCCACCCCCATTTTTAGTAAATATATAGGTATATATTATTATAATATGGATAAATTACACTTTTGGCCCCCTCTTTTTTTTTTTTTTTTTTTTTTTTTTTTTTTTAAATTATGTATATATTAAATGAACTCGAAAGTTACACTTTTCGTCCCTAAGTTATGAGATAATTGTAGAATTTGTTCATAATTGTTGGTCGTGTTCACTTTTCGTCCCTAAGCTATAATTGACGTTGCAAATTTCGTCCTTTTAATAACAGGTTATGGTCACTCTTCCTTTCTAAGCTATACTTCGTTCCTAATGTTTTGTTAGTAAAGGGATGAAATTTGCAACATCAATTACAGAGTATATTTTAGGGACGAAAAGTGAGCACGACTAATATAATAATTATGAATTCTTCCATTACCCTATAACTTAGTGATTAAAAGTGTAATTTTTCCTATTTTTTACTATTGTATAATTTTTGTGTTATGTAAAAAATCAAAAATAATGTTTGACAATTATAACGATCGTACTCATATAATTATATATTTCATATATTATTGCACATAGTATAATTAAAAATAATTATCAATAATAATTGACACAATCATATATGGTATGTATATAATAATATTGTGTGGTTGGTACTAATATCGACTAAGATGATAAATTTCCTCTATAAATTTGGCCCCTCGACTTTCTGGCTCCGCCACTGCTAGCGCCTAAACCCCGATTAATCGACGCCTAGGCGTGATTTTTGCAATAGAGACTTAGAGCAACCTTAATAGTTTGACTTTTTTTTCCAAGTTTTTTGTGGGTCACAACATCCATCTCATTATTCATTATTACACTATCTCATTCATTTTTTATCTATTGACTATTGTACATGTATCAAATTTGATCATTGACTATTAATATTTTAAAATTATGTGCATAATTATGTAATTTGTATCACATACGATCCTTGACTATTAATATTTTCAAATTAAGTGCATGAGTATGTAATTTGTATCTCGTTTTCAATTTTATGGCCAAGTTTCAAGCCAAGTATTACTAGAATTTCAACAAAATATATATATATATATATATATATATATATATATATATATATATTCTAATTAAAATAGTATTTTCGACCAATTATTAATGGAAAAACTATTTTTCTCGTTAAAATTTCAGTAATAATTGGTCAAAAAATTAGACAATAGAACTAAATGTAATATAAATTACAAAATTATGCACTTAATTCAAAAATATTAATAATTAAAAATTAAATTTAATACAAATTACATAGTCATACACCTAATTTAAAAATATTAATAGTTAATTATCAAAATTGACATATTTACAATATTAAACGACCAAAAGTGAATTTTTTTTCTTTTTAATTTTAAGGCTACAAGAAACGTATATGCTCAGGAGTCAGGCCTCAGTGAATCAGTGATCAATGCAGAACGCCCATTTGGTTAGTACTGCAAAAAAAAAAAAAAAAAAAAAAAGGAAACAAAATGCAAAACGCCCATTTGGTTAGTACTGCGATCGTGGCTAGTGTGCAGTGTGCCAGTGTGTGATCTGGACTCGTTAAGCTTTTTCCTCTTTCATCAAACCCGCCTGCAAGAGAGCAAGGTGGTTATGGCGGGGGAGCGAGTGTTGGAGTACCGGGCGAGGGACGACGACGCTTGGTACAGTGTGCACGTGGCGGTGAAAGGCGACACCCTGACGATCCAGTTCCAGGGCCTGCAGGAGACCGACAAGTTCGTAGCTTCAAATTTCGAGTCCGAGGAGGATATTGACGGCGTCGTCCAGAGGTTCCGGGAGGTTTCGCCGCAGCTTCAGGACAACGAGTGCGGCAGAGTCACGGAAGGCTCCCTGGTTTGCGCGGCATGCCACGATTCCTACCGGGATGACATGCGCTACTACGATGCCCTCGTTGAAGCAGTGAGTCACTCATTCCGTATTTTCGGTGCTAAATCTGTTTCTCTTCCGCAAAATCATATTTCTGCTTATTTCAGTATTTTTTTAATCCACCTGCTAGATTGCTAGAGTCATCCTCATACTTATTCATTTCAACAGTACTCCGTATTGTATTGTGTTTATTTTAAAAAAAATTATTTTCCGAAGTTGGAGACTAGAGAGTTCAATGGCGTGATAGAGCCTGTAAATCTGCAAATGTTTATTTCAATGTGAATGTGGGGTAGGATTTGAATAGAATATTGAAGAAGTGTTCTGTTAGAAAAAGGACAAAAGTTGTAACTTAGGGCACAAGAAGTAAGCACAATCAACAAGTAGGGACAAATCCCCTACAATTTTCTTATAACTTAAGGACGGAATGTACAATTTTCCTATATTTTAATGTTTAGAATGATGATGTTCATATTCAAGTTGATCTAAGACAGAAAATGTTGATCTGATTTAGACCTTAGAATTTCAAAACAAGGATTCTGCTCATCCCAATATGACTTACTAGATTGTTCTCTAATTTCTCTTCCAAATTCTTTTAGTTTTGGCGACTATAATGAGAACCTCAAAAGTCCTTTAGGGGTGTTTGGTTCAAGGGATATTTTAAGGTAATGTAACCCTCTCAGGCAGTGTTGCAAAAATCCCTAATCGGCGCCTAGGTGCTAGGCGCTGGCCGGTTGCCTAGCGTATCACCATAATCGGTGGTTTAGGCGGTTGGCCGGCTAGGTGGCCGCCTAAGTGCCGCCTAGACGCTTACTAGGTCGCCTAGTCGGCCGATTAGCTATTGTTCCCTTCTTTTCTAAATGTGTCATTAAAACATTTTAAACAAATTTTAAAAAAATAAAAAATACACGGACGCCTAGGCGCCGATTAATCCCCGCCCTAGGCGCTAGGCGCCCCCCGAGCGCCCAGGAAACGCCTGACGATTTTTTCAACCATGTTCTCAAGAATCTCACATAATCTAAGAATGTGGGGGAATGTGATACCATGAAAGCTACAAAAAATGAACTGAAAACAAAGTTTGGGAATCTCACATTTCCTTGAACCAAACAAGAGAATCTGATGTTACCATATTCACATTCCTAAGGTTATGTGAGATAACCTGAACTGTTTTCACTTCCCATTAATTTTTTTTTTTTTTGAAAGTAAACTGCTGAATATATTAATCAATCAAAGCCGAAATAAAGGCAGGAGGGGTATCCTCCCATAACATAGAGTATGCCTGTGTAGAGGCTCACTGAGCTAACGAATGCGCTAAAAAATTTAAAGAGCGAGAAATATAAACAACAGAGCAGGAAACAAAAAGACCCATTAAATCCCGACATGCTGAAACAGCTAAACCTTCATAAGTGCGAAACTCCGTCGCTGAATTGCCAAGAGCGTGACACAGGTCTGAACAATCTGATCGTAACTCCACCTCCGTGATCCCCCGATCCCTAAGCCAGGACAGGGCCTCCTTACATGCATATGCCTCCGCCATAAAGGGTCCCTGACAAAGTGGTAATGGACCATTCTTGGCTGCCATAAAATTGCCGTTCGCATCTTGGAGATATAAACCGTAGGCCGCCCCCCGTGTAGTGGCCGAGTACGCTGCATCCATGTAGCAGCGTGGCAGCGCGCGGGTCTGCCCAGTGGCGGCAGTAGCTGCAGGCGGTGGCTGTTGACTCTCCAGACGGCCCATAGCCGAGGACCATGCTGACAATGTTGCCAACGCCCTTTCGTACACAATCCGTGGCCTCCCCACCTTTCGCACTTCCCATTAATTGTTTGTCTTTATAGTTTATATACAATTTGCTACTTCAGTCCTTTAAATTTTCTTTTATCAGTAGTTTTGTCTTCAAAATATTTATTTACTTTTTCTAAAAATAAGTAGAAGAAGTTTGTTGGGATTTGCATTATCAATAGCTTCTTCTATGACTGTATAAGAATGCACTGGAAAAGAGGGAGAGGGTGCATTGTTTTCAATGAAAAAGCAGTATATTGACTCTCATGAGAATTAAAAACAGGTGGGAGGGAGAATTTATCCAACATGATTAATTGGATTCTTCTTTCCATTATGATTCTGTAGACAAATTGCTATTTCTAGATATTTAGTCAGAAAATGTCTTTTTCTCTTTACTTTTGCAAAGTTCTAAGATGATTATTTGTTCGTTATTTGTTAGGTGCACCGCAAAAAGCATTCATTAGTCAATGGACAAGAGGAATGTTTATGCGAATTTGTACTATCCTGGACTCATGGTCCTAAAGAGGGTCTTTTTACCATTGCTGGTGTTGCTAGCATATGTACTATAAAGGATGATTGCCAGGTTGATCAACAAATTGCTTCCTTCTCAAAATTGGCAAAAGATAAGCTTCAAGTTTCTTCTCGCAAATCTACTGCTATTCCTAGGAATAAAGTATCAGCACTCAAAGGATCAGTGCTTGCTAAAGGAGGGAGTCACCTGTCCATTGATCAGAAGGCAACTTCATCTCAGGCTATCTTTTCTAGTTTCACAAGATTAATCTGGTATCGTTGATGCATGCATTTATGATTTAATGTCTTTTGTGTATCCTGCAGGACATTCAGAACGGCTGGAAGTTAGATGATGGTAAAGGTGAAACCAAAAGTTTGTTTATAACTTAGTAATATTGGCCCAAAGGATATGTTCATTCTCCTTTACCTTCATCTATTTTTTTTCCCATCTAAGACACAGGAACTATGAGCAACCATGATGCTAATCAGGATCAAGATAAAGATCTTGGTGGTGAAACTTTAAATAGCCATTTCATCTTAATTGGAAACTTGGAGAGAACCTTATCTCCCTCATCAATAAGGGAGTTTATATATAGGCATACATTTATTTCCCCACAAGCATATATACTTCTAAGTTCGTCAACGCCCTTTGCAAGAGCTGTTATCGTGCTGGACTGCAAGAAGCAGCATGAGAAGGTGTACCGATTTCTCGACAATCCTGATCACTTCGTTGTGTCTATGAGGGGAAGGTATGCCTTAGAATCGCACCTTTCTCTTAAAAGTGTTGCTGACTTGCTGTACAGCCTGTACTACAGTACCACCATTAGTGCCTGTACATTGCCATTTGTTTTAAGCCACAAGCTTCTAAATATGTTGGCATGTGTGTGCGACTGGCCTTATAGTCTTGTAGATGGTGGTTGCACATGTGCCTAAATTTGTTAAATGTTAATTGTGTTCTGTAAAGTTTTTGATGTTGAAATTTGGTTCTGTATATTTATCATTTGAATAAAAAGTTCGAATTGTATTTGTTTTGAAAAAATTGTACGGTATTATTGTTAAAGCTAATGACTACTTCTGTCTCAATTAGTGCGAATGTTGTTTTGAATTCCTTTGTAATACGAAGGATTTCAAGACCTGGACTACTTACTTTCTTCTAAATCTGTGCTGATCATGTCACCATTTAGCTGCCAAATTTCCTTGCACATTCATAGAATCATAGTCATCCCGACTGTCTGTGATTACCTTCTGTTTGTTCAACTGTTTTTGCAGGCCATGGGTTGTAATTGAAAGTGTTTCAAAGCATGGAATGCATCGGACCTCACTCGGGAGTGTAGTCCGCAAAATTCAGGTAAGCTCCAGACCATTTATTGTTTATGTGATGAAATATGGTTTGTCTGCATCAACATGGTTTCTTAGTAACTGAACACCTCTCATACCCTTGTGCAAAACTTATTTGGATTTTCGCTGTTAAGGCTTTTCATGTGGTTTCTTCCTTAGGAAAAACACGATGACATTTACCTTGATAATGAACTAATGGTGGTCCGTTCTGGAACTGAAGCTTACAAATGCGCCCAACAGTTAAGGGATTTGTTTATGGAGTTGCATAACCACGAGAAGCAACTGTATAGGAGGTTCGTTGAGGAAGAAATGAGGATTTTGCAGCCTCTTCTTTCCAACGAAGTATCTACCTGATTGAATCCAGTGGTACATAATGTCTGAACAAGTTCTAATCAATTCATTTGCTTCTCTTGTGCAGCCCTTTTATCAGTGCCAAGTTAGCCTGCGAAATAGTGTCCATGTTCTGTTACAGTTTTGTGCATTTCATGAATATTACCCCTTAGTTTTGCCAACATCATACCATAATGAGTTTTGTAACCTGTGGAACTATTCTCTCAATATGAGATTTCATAGCAAATTAGTTGAACTTTTATATTGGATTTGATACCAAATTGATTAAAGTTTGATGTAATTGTGAAAGAGTTAATACCCAAAATCGTCCTTGACTATAGTGGTTTTTCTCAATTTCGTCCTAAACGACTTTGGTGACCTAATATCGTCCCAAACTTTTGTGTTTCGCTCAATTTAGTCCCAGATTTTTGTGTTTTTGCTCAATTTAGTCCCTCATTTGTTATTCTGTCCATTTGGTGTTAAATAAATAGACAATTCAGTAATTTTAATATTGGCATCTCTTTACTCATAGACATGTGAACTGCGAAATCCCTTTTTGTTTTACGAATTACTCTAGAATTACTCCTAAAACTGCGAATATAAAATTTGATTTGCAGGTCCGGGAGTAAATCTGGGTGTAATTCGTACAAGAAAGAGGAATTTCGCACTTCACAAGTTGAAAGTAAAGAGAGATCAATATTGACATTACTGAATTATTCCTTAATTTAACACCAATTTGACGGAATAACAAATGGGGGACTAAATTGAGCGAAACACAAAAGTCTGGGACAATATTAGATCACCAAAGTCGTTTAGGACGAAATTGAGAAAAATCACTACAGTCGAGGACGATTTTGGGTATTAACTCAATTGTGAAATATTAGGATTCACTTTGGGAGTTGGTTAGGCAGTTGTCTTGGTACTCGTGGGGTCCTAGATTCGACTCCCAGTCTAACTGTTTTGGTATAAACTGGTAAGCTATTTGTGGTTCTTTGTCGAGCATAAGACGAGTTTCACTCAATTCATACTTTTGAGTAGTGGCTGTATTTTTCTCTTTCATACTTTAGTTTAAATAATAGTCTTAATGAAAAATTTTTGAACCGTAAATACTTAATAGATCAGAATGTTATTTAATGTAATTAAAGAATATTCACCCTTCAAATTTTCTTCATTAAGCCTGCGTTATTTATACCATGGCACATGCATACAATATTAGTGAAATAATAAAAAAGAAAATCTTTGTTTTTGTTTCAAAAATTTGAGAATATTAATTTCGAAAGAGTAATACTATATATTCTTATTATTATTATTATTATTTTCTCTCCTGACTTGACATCATTTAAATGGCTTAACTTTTTTTTTTTTTTTTTTTTTTAGTAGTTGGTTAGCATTTTTTTATTTTTATTTTGGATCAAGCCATGAGGAGTGCTGACTAGATTGATTTTTCCATACGAGAGGGAGTTCACCCGATCTCTCTTTAAGGGATGAGAGTGCACAATCAATTACGCAAATCAAGCGAGTTAGTTGGTTAGCATATTTATGGTCACCTAATGATTGGAAGTCACATCAGGAGGTGAAGTATGAGAGAAAAATTTAAGAGGGGTAAGAAACATTTTCCATTTCGAAAATGTGTGCACTTTTATAATATGAAAAAATTATAATTTGATTCACTTTTAAAGTTTGTACAATTTATAAGTTCATTTTTATATATTATCGGATGTACAATGAAGCATGATGTTGATCGACACTACTTTTTTCAGTTTTTTTTTTTTAATAATAAATAATACTCCGTAATAATATAGAAAATAGTTACATTTATATTTTTTTAAAAATAGTAAATAATTTTGTTTAAAAAAAAAACACAGTAAATAACTTACGTGAGTATTTGGAAGAAAAATATTTATAGATGGGCAAAGCATAGTTTAAAAACGATAATTATAGAAAGAGTATGGGGGAGTATAAATTAGCGAAACTCCATCGGCTTGGAGGTAGTTCGGAATTGAACCGGGGAAAACCGCCTTTTTCTTATCGTTTTTCCGGTAAGCAGGATGGGATGGGGAAGTTCGATCTTCGAAGGCGTAATAGTGGTGGGTTCTATAGCGCTGCTCGGCTGGGCTGGGCTATGGTTTCTGAACCGGAGGCTTTACAAGGAGTATGAAGAGAAGAGAGTGCTGGTACAGATCATCTTCAGTGTCGTCTTCGCCTTCTCTTGCAACCTCTTCCAGCTTGTCCTCTTCGAGATTATCCCCGTCCTCTCTAAAGAGTACGTGTATCTACCACTTTATACTTTCATTCAACTTTCTTAATTGTTACACATGTTTACATTTTCGAAATTCTCGGTGTTTTGGTGATTTAATAGTGATTTGTGCTAGAGTTGAGTTGTAGATTTGTTCTCGGTTATGAAATCCGTGAATTCCACGGTAATGTGGAGTAATTAATTGTGGATTACAGTGGATGCAGTTGAAAATTTTATTTGCTAAATTGATGTGGATCCTGTATATTAAATAACTAGATCTTGTTTGTTGAAGACTTTAGGTGAAAGTAGAGAAAGATCTGAGCAATTGTGTGTGTAGAAATTTCACTTAAAAATATGTGGATGGAGGTTGAAAAAATGCTAATAAGGAATAGTGGATGAACTCCCAGCTTAACTTCTGACCTATGAACTGATTATGCTCCTGATGGCCCCTTGCAAATGTCAACTAAATAATTTTAGTTGAAGGGAGCATATAAGTTAGTTGCAGGGTAAGTTCTTAGAGCTTGGTTCTTAGGTGTATTGTTTTACTGAAAAGGGGGCCTTAGGGGAAATTCTGTTACATTTCTGCCTTTCAATGTTTAATTTGTAAGTAGCTAATTCGAATATGTTTAATACTTCATTTTCAGTACTGTAATTTGGTTTTGTTTAATTCCTTGTTGATTTGTAGGGCAAGATGGATCAATTGGAAGGTGGACCTGTTTTGTTTGATAATGTTACTAGTCTTCATGCTGCCTTATTATCATTGTTACTTGATGCTTTGCAACAGTGGTAAGTTCAATACTTCTGGACTGCATAATGCTAAAACCTTAACACATTGAGTCCAACCTGTTATCCATGGCATGCACTATGCACATTCACTCTAAACCCTACAAGCTTAGCTAAAATTCTTTATTGGATGTTTTTTTTCCTCTAAAAGTTGACTTCGCATTTCAGGTGTGAGGAAGGAGCGGGCTGCACTTGTTTCTACCTTGTTCTTGATGGCATTCCTATATGCATTTTGGCGCATGGGCATTCACTTTCCAATGCCTTCACCTGATAAAGGTTTGGCTGTGTTTCAATGCTCGTTTCATTACGAAATATCTACTTTTTTCTTTTCATTTTTCAAAAACATTGAACGTGATTCTGGCCTTATTTGTAAAAGTATTGAGTTATTTGAAATTCGAATCGGGCTTGTTTACACTTGCCTCTATCTTCTCACTTTCTCAATTGTGTTTGGAAGAGATTAGGAAATCTTGCTTGCTGAGCCAAATTCAAGCTTGTGTTCTCAACTGAATAATTATTGGCCCAACTTTGAATATCTTATCATTGGCTTGGTCTAGCTCAATTTTTTAAACTCTGTTTATGCATTTGACATCCTTGAATTTTATGTATCTTTATTTTCCTGTCTGCTACATCTTGATTACTGAGATTTTGTATTCCAGGATTTTTCACCATGCCTCAGCTCGTGAGTAGGATTGGAGTAATTGGTGTGACTGTCATGGCTATCCTTTCAGGCTTTGGAGCCGTAAATTTACCATACAGTTATCTGTCTTTATTCATCAGGTAAAGAAGGTTGGGGGCAGGCCTCTGACTTTAATTGATGCGAGAGAAGGATGACTGAAAAGGAGACAAGTGGGGTTATTATATGTTGTTTTGTTTGTTTAATTTTGTACTGCCTTGCCTTGTAGTGGATAATTTGGTTGACCATGGGAGAAAAAGAAGTGGTCAATATATTTTCTTGTTGCTGTCCCATTTTTGGTTACATTAGTGACAAGTGATATCTGGATTTTTGAAAGCTCTGCACTTGCTCTTACATGGCAGAGAAATTGAAGAATCAGAGATAAAGTCAGTGGAGAGGCAGCTAATTCAGTCAATTGAGACCAGCATTGCCAAGAAAAAGAGAATCATTCTCTGCCAAAGGGAAATTCAGCGCATCCAAGGTGCTGAAGAGGTTTGCATATTTAACTTCATCTATTGTTGTTTTGCTTATTCTGTTCCAGTAATTTGTAAAATTAAGAATATGTATAGTTTAAATGAGAATGGAAAGTTGCAACAAATAGAAAATGTGTAGTCCTTCAGACTGCAAAAGTTAAGTTTTAGAAAGATGAGATGTTGCAATTTGTCAGTCAATGTATGACGAACATAAGTATCTTTTTAAAGCATACTTAGTAGATAGTTTTCAATCATCTTCCAGCTCAGTTAATGAATAATTGTTTTAAGATAGTCAAAGATGTAAGCTGCATGATGCTAGAGATTTTCTTTTACCTGATGATACTTACAAATGAGGACAGATGGGCTGAAAAAAAAAAAGAAAAAAAAAAAGAAGAGAGAAGTGGGGTTATTTCATGTGAGTATGTGACTTTCTGATTTTAATGATTTTGAACTTCTCTCACTGGTGTTGCAGAAAACAAATGCTACTTCCTTCCTAAAACGAATTGTAGGAACAGTTGTGCGATCAGTTCAAGATGACCAAAAGGAGCAGGGTTAGTATCTGCTACACTTTTGTATATATATTACTGACCAGCAAGTTTGATCATTTTTGTGATGGGTTGCACTTAAAAAATTGCAACAGAAGTATGTGTTGTTTGCTCAATGATATTCATGGTCAGTTTCTCAAATCTCCAAACTTGGTCAGTGAAATTTTCTGTTCCCAAGTATGAGTGTGGAGTATTGTTTCTGTGTGGCTGCATACTATTTTCCATTACTGCTATAAATGTACAAGTATCATACATGAAAATAAATATATTCAATCTTGTTTGACTCTTATAATTTTGCATGCTGTTTTGATGAAGATATAAAAAATATGGAAGCCGAGGTACAAGCTTTGGAAGAACTCTCAAAGCAGCTTTTCTTGGAAATATATGAGCTTCGCCAAGCTAAGGTTTACATTGATGTGTTGCCATTTCTCTTCTAAGAAATTACCTTTTACATTTCCTGATCTTTGAAGAGATTGTGGTCATAAACTCTTATCTTTAAAAAGCTTGCTTGAATTTAATTGAAGGTTTTTTAGACCTACATGACATGCTCATTTTACTACTCTCTCACGCACACTGACCTTTCATAAATCTCCATGATTGTTGTTTTCAACAGTCTATCAATAATATGTTAGCTGCAAGCTTGGATGCATATTCTGTTGGCCCATTTCTGGCTCAATAGTACATGTTCTAAAACTTGTATCATGTAACTCAGCAATTTATATATTTATTTCAGGAAGCTGCTGCTTATTCTCGTACATGGAAAGGTCACCTGCAGAATCTTTTGGGTTATGCTTGTTCTGTCTATTGTGTGTATAAAATGATTAAGGTACGGTTATACTAATAAAAAATGACTGAACAATTAAAAATCTCAATTCATATAATTCTACTGTATTTATACAAACACTTCAATGGTTGAAGAAACAGTGTTTTCTTTCCCATAGTGTTTTTTAAGCTCATAAAACTTCTTGAAAACTATGAGTTGGTGAGGTCCACTGCTGTATATATTATATAATGTCACTACCAGACAACATATGGGATCTCCGTTGAAGATCTCTTGATCTGTGTACAATGTTCTTAGTATCTAAAACTAGGTGATTAATTAGTGAATTTTTATTTTTGCAGTCTTTGCAAAGTGTTGTCTTCAAGGAGGTATATTTCTCCACAACTCCATCAATTTAGTGGCTCAGCTTCATTTATAATAATCGTTTTTGCCCCTATTATCAGATGTGTGCATGATTTTTGGCCAAAACATGCTTTTCTTTTACAGGATGGTTCTGTAGATCCAGTGACCCGGACAATCAGTATATTTTTGCAATTCTTTGACATAGGAATAAATGCCACAATGTTGTCACAGGTTCTTAATTGTTTCATATGTTATTGCTACTATACTTTTCTTGTGCAGCTCTATTAATGCTACTAAGATATTCGGAAATTGAAAAGCTAGATATTTACTTGTGGCAATGAGAAACTCAAATATGTTTCATTTCGCCTACATTTACATAAATCAACATTTTTTTGTTTGTTTGTTTTTTTATTTATTTATTTTTATTTTTTATTTTTTAATGTTCATGAGAAATATTATTTTGACATGAGTGTGGACTTACCATTTTTACACTTTTGTGCAGTATATATCCCTCTTATTCATTGGGATGCTGATTGTCATATCCGTTAGGGGATTCCTAACTAATTTGATGAAGGTAAGTTCTGCCTTGGTGCTTCTGTTTATAGCAGAGTCTACCTCTGGTGTTGTTTGGTCCAAAAGGGATAATTTATTGCTTCATTATTGGGATATTGGGCTATTAGGTTGGGTTAGGTGGTGTGCCCCATGCTCCCACTTAAGAAAACATGCTTGGATCATGCACAGAACACAATGAATATGACATTTCACTGTTAAGATCTGTGAAGTGATACTTTCTGATATTTGTATTGTTTTATGTATCTTGAGCCTAACTGCAATTTTGGTTATGGACAGTTCTTCTTTGCAGTTTCCAGAGTTGGAAGTGGATCATCAAGCAATGTTGTGCTTTTCCTTTCTGAAATCATGGGGATGTATTTTGTGTCCTCTATTCTGTTGATTAGAAAGAGCCTGGCAACTGAATATCGGTATGTTTACTTTTCATGAAGTTGAACTTAATTCCCCACTCCATTTATACCACTACAAAAATGTTGGTACGGAAAAGATGATGAACATTTGGTTTACAATTCATAAGGTGATTTGTATTGACAGGATGATCATAACAGATGTGCTAGGTGGAGATATTCAATTCGACTTCTACCACAGATGGTTTGATGCTATTTTTGTAGCCAGTGCTTTCCTTTCTCTGCTTTTGCTTTCTGCACACTACACATCCCGTCAAGCAGACAAGCACCCAATTGATTAGAGTAGAACATGAACATTGCTGCTGCACCTACTTTATAATACTACTTTGTATAAAGTTCCCCATGATATGATTAATATAGCCATATTTTCATCCCAGGCCATGCGGTTTCTGCCAAACATATGTGGATAAGCTTGCTTACTTGCTTTTGTATGTTTGAGTAAATGCCATATCTGCCTGTTATAACCCAAAAAAATTCCTTGCAGCCATTTTTCTGATTATATTTATTCCTTTAAATGCGCTTCCTTGTTTATTAAACAAATGCTGCAGGTTCTTTTCTTGTAACTTGTGCTGTCATGCACTGGCAATGCCTTTTTTTTTTCTTCATAAAACCCGGCCCGGTGCTTTCGATGAAACTCAGTTTACTTTGTAGTGAACTCTATTCGTACTGCATTAAACTGTTCACAATCAACTTCACTTTTGTTCATTTCCACTATTAACCTATTATCTTTAAAACTGAGACTCTACCTTAACTAAATATAAATTAATTATTGAAAAAGAAAAAGAGGGAGAATTGATCCGTTTGGATGCAATGTGAATGCCAACCCATTATTTTGGACCTTGGAGCATGGATTTAAAAGTGAAGCATAAAAATAAGTAGCCGTGATAACAATGAAGTTAGACAAGGAATATATTAATATATTAATTAAACAAATAGAACACCACCACCCATCATTCCTCTTACAAAAACCCATATGTCAAATTACATTCCAAAACACAAACCAGAACAAACTCCGTTATGACTTGTCGCAAAGCTCCATCCAGACTAGTGGAACACACGTGCAATGCAGGACATGCTTTCAGCCAATGGCTCTTTTCTTTTACAGAGAAAAAGATGCTGGAAAAGCTCAGGATTCAGCAGAAGCTGATTGCATACAGCAGAACCATCTCTTCTGCAAATGATGAGAACAGCCAGATCAACAACAAAATAAATGGAAATGACCCCCATATGTAAATTAGGGAAGCAATATCAAAATGCATTAACCATGCTCTCACAATCTTATTCACTGCACAAGTTTTCAGACATCTATAGCTTTGGTGGGAATGAACAAGCATGTGGTAAGTGAAACAGTTAGTTCCAATTAAACTATAGAAATCAATCCCCTCCCCAGAGTTTAGTTCTAGAACATAAGTCTTTAATGATTAGTGAGAAACTACTATAGCAGACCTGCCCTCTCATATGTTGATGAAATTATAGCAATCAGTTCTTGTTTGATAAGGTTTTTTGACAAAACATAGATACTCATATTGCCATAAATCCAACTTCATGCGATCAATAAGGTCCATTGCAGTAGCAATTATAATGTAAATACATTATTCCCTTCCACAGAAAATATGTAGCAGACCCTTTTGACAAATGCATATACAGTTCACTCCTACCCACTCATCCAGCTCCTTTCTTACTATACTTCCACCCTCAGCATCCAACAATACCATAGCAAACCTGAGGCCAGAATGTCTCTCCTTTGAGAACATTTTATAATATTTTCATTCATAAACCATTATGATATTTCAGGCGATCATTTTTATTTTATTTGTTGTTCCTTAGTTCTCATGTGAGTCTTTGGTGAAGGAAAAGTGGTGGTGGTGGCACTGAGTTGTTGTTTCTTCCATAAGAATGTAATAAACATACTCTAACACTGCTTTATGTAAAAAAAAAAAAAAAAAAAATTCACTTCATAGAAAAAAAGTAGACAATTTATTTGTTGAACTTTTCCATCCTATTTTCATGAACAAACTGCACATTAGTTAAATAGGATTTCCAATTAAAAGGGTGCATGCAACCATACTTGAAAAAGTAATACGGAATATATATATATATGATAGATATGCCCTCTTTCATTCTTAAAATTTCAAGAAATTTTGAGCTTGAACGAATAAAAGAAGACATATCTAGAAAAGTAAGCCAGCAACAACTCACTGATTGAGGCTTTCCAAGCACAGCTCTATGTTTAAACTCAGAATCACTCTTTGGTGGTGACTCCGGCTTGCCACCAGTCTTCTTCTCATTTCTAGCTTTGTTGAAAATCACTGTGAATCCCTCAGCAGAAGCTGGATCATTGACATCCCACTCGCCGAACTTTGGCAATGGGAGTCCTTTTTCCTACATAAGTAGGAATGTTAGTATTCTGTTTATATCTTAAACTGAAAATTCATTATTTGAGTAAATATATACAACTATACAAGTTCAAATCCATATTCATACTCAGTATATGTGAATCTTAAACTGAAAATTCCAGTGGTTAGTAGTGACAATCAAGTGTGCATACAGCACCACACAGAGTTCAAAAAGACTTAGAACCTCGTTTTGCCAATTGAAAAATTGCATTTCCAAAGAACAAACAACTTGTACTCAAACCATATCTTTTATAAAACGGAAACAGTAAACTGACTGAAAGCTTATGCAATGAAATCCCTGGATCAGATTGGCTTAATCAGTTAATGTTAACATTTTCAGAATCATGCCTCTTTTCTCCCAACAAGTACATTTTCAGGATAATCATTACTTCTATTGAGCAAAAACCTTCTTCACTATCACTACATTTCAGCAAAACTCTAACAGGAGAGAAAAATTTTGCTATTCGATTTCGTTCCAATAGCAAAAACATTAAACATTATCGTAAACCTTTTGCTTTGCAGGAAAATCAAGTTGACAAAACACAATCAAAAAGGAAAAAAAAAAAAACTACAAAATGAAGAAACTACGGCGCTCTATATAACAAGTAAAATATCATTGAGATGAACATGTATCGATGTATGCGTGCATATCTACATATCGCATATTACATACATATATACACACATAATATAGAGATAACGAGCGCGCTCGCGCGAGGGAGAGAGAGAAAGAGAGAGATACCGCCATGACGACTGTGGAGAGAGAGGAATACAGTAGTGGAGAGAGAAAGAGAGAGATACCGCCGATACGAATTTCACCGTTTCTCTGCAAATGAAAGACGGCAGTTGTTGGGAGGAAGAGGAGGGAGATTTAGAGAAGACTTGGCGTGAGAGGGAGAGAGAAGAGAGAGAGAGTACAGCTGGCTTCTATGTGGATCTTTGGTCCCAGTTCCTCTGGGCCCCACTGTGCAGCTGCTTCTTCTTTCTGTTTCTCTCTCTCTCTGTATAGTGATTAGTGAATAGTGAAAACAGTACCATTATGCAAAAATTCCTTACACGGCGTCGTACAGGGCTCGTGTTTTGTCCAATTGAACCGCTTTTCATGTTCATCGTACTTGAATGAATGCGGTGCACAATGAACTGTATTTGTTTTTTTTTTTCTCCGTGTATAAATTATCACAACTCAATTCAATTGCTTTTTTTTTTTTGAATGGTATCCCATATTTTATTAATCTTCTTACAATTTCTTATATTTTTTTGAATGGTACTAATTCTATTAGAATGTATTATCTGTTCATAGCTACTTTCTCAACCTACTGAAGCATAAAGAGCCAATAAGGCCTCCATTGAGGCTCAAACTCACAACCTCCCATATAGAAGTCCAACCCGGATGCCATCTAAGCACAAGGTGTTTGGCCAATTCAATTGCTTTAATTATGTCGAAATGCATATAATTTTGAGGCCGAAGCATAACTCCTTAAATTATTCTTAGTTAGTAACTCATTGCATGTGAATTAAATCAACTCAAAAGATCTCATTGATTAAGAGTGTCTATTAGATGGCGTTGTAAGAGGACCTATCTTGTTAATCATACTAATTGCCATGTTTGATAGTGGAAATATCGATAGCAATTCAATTGTTGCGAGGGATCTATAAATACACATATATCTTTAAGAAAAAAGATTTGAAACTTAACTTGAAAGAGTAATAGTATTACATATTATTTTTTTAATTCAAACAAATTTCATGTAATGTGATATGTTTCATCTATTAAATCATACATGATAAGTCAAATCTCACATAATATGGTATGTTTTAGTTAATTATCTATAATTTGTTTTGACGAGACAAAACAAGCATGATATGTATCTTTTAATTAAGATTCTTTATTAAAAAGTCAGTTAATATTTCGTAAAGATCATAAGAACAAGATTATTAGTTTGAAAGAAGATGACTGTAAATTAGTAACTACTTAGCAAGCGCCACAACTTTTTCCCTTATTTAAAAGTCACACCAAAAAGTAAAACTCATCTAGCAGAAAAACTTGCACACCCTCTCCCATTTCCCATCCATCTCACCAAAAGGCTGGAAAAAAAACTCACAATTTCAAAAAAAAAAAAAAAATGCCAATTGGAATTAGGAATGTCTTAGAGCATCCACATTAGTTGGAGAGATTTGGGAGATAATGTAAGAGTGATTAGGAAAGAGAATGTGGGAGGGAGAGAAAAAGAAAGAAAAAAAAAATAACAAAACAAAAATTGAAAATAAAAAATCTGCCGCGTCAGGCGCGCCCGTGTAGACATGGCTGTGCGCAAACGCGCACAGCCAGTGTTCTTTCTTTTTTTTTGTTTTTTCTTTTTTTTCTGACATTATGCTTGAATTTGCAGAGCAATTCTTTTCACAAATAATCCCACCCCACATTTGTTATTATCCCCACCCAAGTTAATAGATCTGACATTATCTCCTCTTTCACCATTGATGTGGATGCTCTTAAAGCGGGATAGCTAAAAAAAGAGTGCTGCCGTGCTGGACAGCAGGGAATATAGTATTTTCCGAGAATACAACTGGAGCACGCACGCACGCCGCTACGAAGTTCGATATCCGTGTGATGTGTACTCTTAACCACAGTTTCACACATCATTTTTACTTTATGTCCGGTTTTAGGGGTTTATGAATGTACCAAAAGAATAATGAAGATTTAAACCATGAAAGCTCAGACGAAAAATAATAATTCATGTATACATTTCTTCAATAATTTAAACACACTAGTATTTATTGGTGAAGAATACAAAAAAAAGGGGTAAAGATACAGGGAATTCGAACATAATTTTATACTCGAAATCACCATGTCTGGTAAACAATAATCTATGTTGGAAAGTCCGCCTCGATCTGTAAATAGCCGTAAACTGGGTTACAGCAGTTCTAAAACAAGGGCTGAAGCGCCGCCTCCACCGTTGCAAATGCCACCAACTCCGTATTTTCCGTTCTTCTGCTTCAGGACCTGCAGCATTCCCAATTGAATAAAATGGTTCCACTCATTTTTAAGCTAATAACACCATTTTCATCACTATTAATTAAGATCTGAGCCAAACAGTATAGTGGAACATACCCCGAGAAGTGTAACCAATATTCGGGCTCCGCTGCATCCAAGAGGGTGACCCAGAGACACGGCTCCACCATGTACATTTACTTTGTCCTGGAGAGTGGAGACCACACATTAACAAGATGACTCGTTTATTTATAGAAAATGGATGGGGAAGAAGCGTTGTAGCCTTGTAGGTGTAAGTGTAATATACAATAGACCCAAATAAGCATTCTCGGGAAGAAGCAATGTGTAATAATTCTTGTTTTTTTTTTTTTTGAGTGACAAGGAACCCGAGAGTTAAGACCCTAGTCGATAAATGACCACAAAGAGGTAAACAAGTTTAAATTGCATGTTTAAATCAACTAGGAGTCAAATTTATAACATTGTAGTTACTAAGCTAACAGCCTAACCAACTTGGCTGGGTTGCCCAATGAGTAATAAGTTAATTTTAAGCGACTCGGAGGGACATGGAGAGGAAGAGAAAGAGGCTGAGGGAGCTCACCGCATTAATCCCCAGTAGTTTCTGATTTGCGAGGGCTACAGCCTGCATGCATCATGTGTGTGGAATAAGATGAATATAAGATCACAGGAAAATTTTATGAGTGCCTTTAATTTCATTTCAAATAACTAGGCAAGAAAGAAACATATATACCGCAAAAGCTTCATTGATTTCGTAATAATCAACTTGAGAGGCTTCTAGACCAGCATTTTTTATTGCTTTTGGAATTGCAAGAGCAGGAGAAGTTGTAAATAATTCTGGTGCCTGAAAGATTTCGTAAAATTATTTGCGCATCAATAATATTGCCAACACAATAATAATTAATAAACCATCTCTAAGTATGTAGGCAGTACCTGAGCAGCATCTGCATATCCCGTGATCTTTGCAATCACTGTTAAACCAAGCTCAATGGCTCTCTTTCCACTCACCAATACCAAAGCAGCAGCACCATCACTGAAATGGGATTAATTTACTTAGCAATATTTCATAAAATGTGAGACAGAATTTTTTGAAGAAATTCAGTAAATTCCCATTGGAAAAGAATTTATTTAAGAAGTGCAACCCCGGAATCTGATTGAAAAGAAAAAGGAGCAAATATGATGAAATAATCTGTGATTAACAATCCTATGAACTGAGCTCATAGGCAGGCAGCCAGACAACTGATATTGCAGTTCAATAAGATGATGGGAAAAAAAAAAGGAAAAAGGACGCAATTAGTTTTATGTGTGAAGTATAGCCATTTATTGTTGATATTAACAATAACAATTTATCCAACACCCCCCACCCCTATTCCTAAGACCCCAACCTCACAACCAAAACAATCTTCACATAAATACATAATGGCAATTTAGTACATGCAGACTGAGAAGTAACCTACAGAATGGTGGTTAGCACAATTATATTAAGTGAATATTAACAAACCTTATGCTGGAAGAGTTACCAGCAGTCACGGAACCTCCATCTTCCTTAAAACTTGGTCGAAGTTTCCTCAGCTTTGAAGCATCAAACTGCAAAGGCAGATAAGAATATATAGTTAAAGGAAATAAGGAAATAACAACAAACATCATTTTAAGAACTGCTTTGTAAATTTTCACATATTTGATCCATTTTTGAGTTATGACACTTCCATATAGGGGCAATGCAGCGAAACAATGCAACTCTTTGAAGAACTAGTAATTTTATATGGAAGAGTCATCTAAAATTTGCATTCCATTGTGAGGAAGCATTGTCTTCTCTTCTCCTTTGTCTCTTTTAGTGCATGAAGTATCTATGCACTCTCCTTGTAAGTGCTGACTGTACAACATACAGATTAATATGTTTACCTTCCCTAGGCCTTCATCCTTATCAACAATAGTGGAAGGCTTCCCTCTTCCCCCTGACACCTCAACCTACAAATTACCAAATCATGATTAAACAATTATACAATGATTTAAAAGAATTACGGAAGAGTTCTCTTTCTTATAGAAGAGTGTATTGACAAAGATCTAGTTGTTATACCGGCACAATCTCCCATGCAAAAGCACCGGCATTGTTAGCAGCAATCCCACGTTCAAAACTTTGAATTGCAAAGTCATCCTGCATATATAATTGAAGTGTGTACAAACCTCAGTATAAAGACTTTATATGAAAGAGGCCAAAAAAACCATATAGATTATAAACAAACCTGTTCTTCTCTTGAGAGTTTGTGCGTTTCAACACATAATTCAGCACATACTCCCATCCCACAATTGTTATAAACATCCCACAGACCATCTTTAAGCATCCCATCAACAAGAGAATCATGCCCAAGGCGAGATCCTTTCCTGCAATTACAGAGTGATTATGGTTAGATAAAGTATAAACTCACTTGGAACTACTACAATTGCAAGAACAATATGATATGTTGAATGAGTAGTATACAATGAAGACTTAACAATTGATTACAGGTTACATTTCTGTTTATATATTTATAAACACGAGGCATCTGAATTTATGGGAGGGGGTGGGGGACAATGGATGTTGTTCAATAACAGCCAATTTTGAAGTTCAAACTTTGTTCTTCGTTAATATTCAGAGCACTCAGAAACCCCAAAGTTAAATTGAACAAGTTTATGGGATGGGTGGAGGTAAGCCCTTGTACAGTTATACGTTTTGTTTGGCCCATGGGATAATGGAAGGGCTGAGGGGAATTTGGGGCTCAATTAACATATCAAAATTGTAAAAAGCTGTCTCTAGAAAAAACACGAACCTTGCTTCTGCAAAGTATTTAGGAACATTAGACATGCTTTCCATTCCACCGGCCACGACAACATCATTGATGCCTAATTGGATACTTTGTGCAGCAAGCATAGTTGCTGCAATGGGAAATAAATAAATCATGTTATTAGCCATTGTATTTTATATAATAGTTCAGAATCTTGGTGGAGGGGATGGGGTGGCAATTGGGAAAATCCATTAGGAAGCAGATCCACTGCTTTCAACAAGGATCATACCTTTCATTCCAGATGCACAAACTTTGTTAACAGTGGAGCAGACCACTGTGTTTGGTATTCCTGCACCCAGTGCTGCTTGTCTGGCTGGAGCCTGTCCCAGATTTGCACTGAGTACATTTCCAAAGAAAACTTCTTCAACAAGAGACGGATCAACACTCCCTCTCTTAAGAGCACCTGAAATGACAATGAAGAAGAGAGACATTTAATATTTTTTGATAACAGAGAGACATTTAATACGAAGCCATATATAGTGGGAAAAAAAACTACACGAACTTGGTAGTAATCTTACTTTCAATAGCTATGGATCCAAGCTTGGTAGCTGGCAATGATGAAAGAGAGCCCAGAAAGCCACCCATTGGTGTACGGGCAACACCAACAATGCAAACATCTAGTCAAAATAGAAGTTAAAAGTAATGATCAGACAAGAATAAGAAACTCAAGGTGAAACAAAAGTCAAAAGTCAGAGTAAATGATCAACAAACTTAACGAATTGGATATAGAAATTTTAATGAACTGTTACCCACCCATTTTTGTTATGGTTATTAATTAAACCAAGTGGACGTGGGTATGTGGAAGCACGCAGCAGTACGCGGAGTAGCTTTGGCAGTGGCAATAGGTGGTGCATTTAGTGGGCCTAAATTTAACAATTGTTGTTTTCATCTTTTTACTATAAATATGTTGCATTACAAAGCATTTTGATATTGTGAGAAGTAATAAATATTGTTAAGTTTCCTTTCTCTTTTCTCCTCTCAAATTATATATAGTCATATAGATATATTATATTTAATATATCTATGCATTTGATTTGTCATAGGTAACTTAACACTAAAGTGGATTTTAGAAATTACAAGTTTTATGAAATCTAAGTTCCATTTACTGAACTCATCTTAGGAAAAGTACTTACTTCTTCATCAAATGGAGGGAAAAAGTACATTTAAAACAAAAACAAAGTCTTGTTATTGTTAAATTATTGAACATTTCAATAACTATAAGAGATTCCAAGCCTATATGTTAGCACACTGCAGACTTACCTCTAGCATTGATGGTTTCTGCTGTTGCTGGAGCCATAGCTAGTTAGTGTATGCAAATGGACGACCTTCACATACAAAAAACCCAATTAGCATAATCAATTTTTCTCGAGAGAAAGATTGCAGCAGAACTTAACAACATGTAGGTAATATGCAACCCTATAATCACTGGAAACTCCTAATTAGCAATATGACATAACAGCCACATCATAGCATTAGCATGAAGTATCTTCTCATCAACCACTTTTAACTAGACCACCTTGAAGTTATCAAACAACATTCAACTGGCATTTCACGGGCTCATTAATTCATTAACTAGCCATTCTATTTATAATTATTCCACCAGCAGATGAAAAAATGTTATCGTTGCCTTAACTCCGCACCTAACCTACGATTGATTCATAGCAGTTTCAGAGATGATGGACGAATTAGATCTAACTTCCAAACACTTAATCCAGAATATATATCAACCAAAAGTTGTTGAAATTAAAGCACATAACCATACATTCAGAGCTTGATTTCATAATCGGATCCAATCAAAAGTGCCAGAAATTCATAATTCGACTAGGAAATGGAAGAATAAACACGAAACGAAAGCTTAAGAACACGATAAGTAAAGAGGTGAAATGAGTATAGTAGTGGTTTGTTCGTTTACCTGTGTTGATTGTAGTGTTGGTTCCTTGGGAGGGAGAATGAGTGAAAGGACGCGAATTGAATGGGAAACAGAGGCGGCTATATATATTGGCTTGGGTGGACCGCCATGGTGGCTGGCTGGCCGCCTGCCGCACGAGCTACACCTAATAATTTCATTTTATATTGTATCCTATGCTTTTTGTTGGACCGGCTTTGTTGACTGGCTGTTTAACTGTTTTCTCTAGTTTTTTTTTTTTTTTTTTTTTTCTCTCTAGTATTTAGTCATTTAGTTATGGACTTTAGTTGAATAATTAATAATTTTTGAGAAAAATTTAATATTTTATACACTTTATTTCATTTCATTTGTTAAACTAATTCTTTTAAAAAAATTCATAGCATTTTTATAATTTTCAAACATGATTTTGTGTGATAATTTTAAATATATAAATTTTATTCACTAATACTAAATTAATATTATAAAAAAATGGATAGCTACTTGCTATAAAACTTGCAATTGATTATCAAATATTGGATGCTTTTCAAACAATGTTCATCTCGTCTCACACAATCGCTGTGTTGAGAGTTACATGACCTTAATTTATGAAATTTTATTTTTTTGATCGTCTTTTGTGAAATTATATTTTTCAACTAATACAATGACTTGAACGGTAAATATAGATTTTCAAGCTAAAGAATTAGGCTTTCTTAAAGATTAATTCAAGTCAAATATTCAAACAAAATGTTAGTAAGCTTGCCTAGGTCTATAGTACTTTAATTAATTAATTGATCTATACTTATAGTGTTAGTGACATAGGGCTATCATAACCGTTTAAGAATATTATTTCATTAACACCTGACTAGTTGGTCACTACTCTCCATCCGAGACACAACGTCAACCAACTTGTAAGCATGGTTGCAGTAGGCGCTAGGCGCTAGTCGGGCATTCGGACAGCGCCTAGGCAGAATCTAGGCGGGCGCCAAAAAAATAGTGGTAGACTTGCAGTTTGACAATTTTAATAAGGTTGTTTTCAATATTTAATCAAACAACACATCCAAATAAATGAATTAATGATAATTCATAAGTCATAACATCAAAACAATGATTTTCAAAAAAAAAAAAACATTAAAACAATATTTTTTTTGAAAGAACATTAAAACAATATTAAAAATTAAAAATACTCAAATACTTCAATCATTCAAAGATTCAAAGTATCAAACTAGTCTATGAGTGTATATATGTCATATTATATATATGTATGCGCGCGCGCACACACACATATATATAATATAATAAAAAAATAGGCCGAGCCGATCGGGTTAACTCGACCGAAATGGACGAGTTAACTCGACTAACTTAGACGCTAGGCGGCCAAATCGGCCGAGTTAGGCGCTAGGCGGCCAAATCGGCCGAGTTAGGCGCTAGGCGGACGCCTAGGCGGGCGCCTAGGGAGAAAATCGCCACGGTCTAGAGGCGCCTAGACCGATTTTTACAACCCTGTTTGTAAGGTGTCATCATGACATAGATTCAATCTACAATTATATATATATTTAGGCTTCACAACTATATGTCCTAATGTCATGTATCATCTAACATCTATCGCATCTCATATCCATCATGTATTTAGTTGTGCTCGCTTTGTATTATGAACACTAATTTATTGTTTTTAGCGTGTATATTGTTGTAATTATGTGAGATGTTTTTGAAATGATAAATAAGAATGTGATGGCATATAATTAGATACATGGACGCATCAAAATCAGAGTATTTGCCCCACCGCTATGAATTTGCAATTTGTGCCCAAAATATTTGATCAAGATTAACTAATACGCCGCCGAAGTCGCCTTCCTTGACTCATCACTTTCATAGTAAGACAGAATTTTATTCCACGTCACATTCATTTCAAGAGCGCAAATTATGCCGTGGAATCGTGTTCACCGAGAATGGTGAACACAAGTCAAAACGACGTCGTTTTTAGGCAAAAAAAAAATAAAAATCGCGGATGTGGAGTTAACGGCGCGTTACTGATCAAATTATGAATTTTCTGTTATGAGATTATGAATTTTATGAAAATTCATAATCTCATAACAGAAAATTCATAATCGCATAACAGAAAATTCATAATCGCATAACAGAAAATTCATAATCGCATAACAGAAAATTCATAATCTCATAACAGAAAATTCATAATCTCATGGTTCCAAAGTGAATGTGTAGGCATGGTTCCAAAGTGAATGTGCAGGCATGGATTCATAATTTATGAATGTCCGTGATTTCGGACGGGAATATGTAGGCATGGTTCCAAAGTGAATGTGCATGCATAAATTCATAATTTATGAATGTCCGAAACTCCGAAATTATGAATGTAATGAAAATTCATAATCTCATAACAGAAAATTCATAATCGCATAACAGAAAATTCATAATCTCATAACTGAAAATTCATAATCTCATAACAGAAAGTTCATAATCTCATAACAGAAAATTCATAATCTCATGGTTCCAAAGTGAATGTGTAGGCATGATTCCAATGTGAATGTGTAGGCAGTCACGTAATTAATTAAAAAAAAAAAAATAACGGTGCACTAACACCGTTGGAACCGTGTTCACCATGAATGGTGAACACGGTTCCATGGCATAACGTCTGTTTCAAGAGTGAGTGGGAGCTTGAAGAAAGAATTTAATTTCAGAATCAATAGTGTTGGGCCTTGCCTTGAGTTCAAACATTTGTTAATCATATTTCAACTATAAACTGGGCTTTTGTACCTATTCTTAGTATATATGCAGATGTTAGATGTTGGATCAAGAATTAACCTTGCAAAAGGTATCCAGAAAATAGCATATCTATATATATGGTTCATATGGATCACATCACACAAGAAGGGAATTGAAATGAATCCCACTGGGATGGAGCCTACACCCAACACCCAACACCTACAAATTAAAATCCATCTACATATCATCCATAAACATATATTGTCTTATGCCTATGATACCAGTTCAAATGCGGACAGTGTTTCCCATGTTGTCGGTGCAGATTCACCATCAGGTATGCATAAATGCACCACACAGTATTAAAAAATGCACCAGATCTAATGTACATTTCTAAACACTTTGTGGTGTATTTATACCTAGTTAATAATGAGTGGCCGGACAGAAACTTGACCCTAGCTAGTAGCTAGTAGCTAGTGTCTATATATGTGTATATATATATTATTTATTTATTATGTATGAACTATGTCAGCAGGTATATTCTGCTTCGGATATAGACTTGGGCATTCCGTCGAGCAAGCAGTCGATCGGCGGTATAGTGAGCGTCGCCTGAATCCCATAAGCGTTCCAGCAGAAAGGGTCGTCGACTAATTCGCCTTCGAACGGGAGCAGCTCGACTTCCGACATGAGTATCCCGGTGCAGGCGACGGTGTCGCTGCAGGCGAAGTGTATCGGCGGGCTCCGGACGTCGTACGTGCCCTTGATGTTGCGGAAGGACACGTCGGCGACGTAGACGGCGGAGGTCTCGTTCCGGCAGTCCTTGCTGAGGCAGTAGTACTGGTCGATGATGACGCAGTTGCGCACGTTTTCCATCTGGATGGTGTCGAAGCTTATTCCGGTGACGGAGCCCGTGCCGCCTTGCCACGTCTTGATCCTCAGCCCGTTGTCGGAGTCTTTTATCACGGCGTTGGTTACCGTTATGTTGGACACGCAGGCTTGGGAGTTGTGGACTCCTAGGCTTCCAATGCTGCAGTAAATTAACATTGATTAATAAAAAAGGCCAAGGTGTGGGGTTTTTGGCAAATTATTCCGTGAACTCGGGTCCACCTTGTAAGGTAGATCTGAGTCCAAAAGTATACCATTTTCATACAGAATTTTCACAATTTACCTGTTGAATGTTCACAGTTTTATATAGTGAATGTTCACAATTTACATACTGTTTACAATTTAGAACGAGAAAATTTTAAATTTGTAGGCAAGAATTTACCTGATTCCATGACTAGGTCCACATGTGACCGCATCAATCTCAACGTTGGCACATCCCGGGCCTATTGAAATGCAATCATCACCTGTTGAAAGTAAGGATTGTTAAATAAGAAAATTTTATTCAGTACGTACTCTTGAGTAATGACTGTAAATTTTTCTGGTCAGTTATCAGTCGAGGAAAAAAAAATAAAAATGGAAGGAGGTGATGTGTATGATATGATGTTACCATTGGCTATGACAGAGTTGTAGATTTTGACATGTTTGGTGTCCTGAACGTGAATGCCATCGGTGTTGGGGCTAAGCTTGGGGGAGTTGATGGACAATTCATGGATTTCTACGCCCTCGCAGCCATCGAATTTGATGTGGAACTGGGGACTGTTTTGGATGCATAGACCCTTCACCACCAGATTGGAGCTCATGAAAAATCGAATTAGCTGCACAAAATAATTAAATCTCATTTATTCAATTCCTTGGAACCTCATAGTTTTCTTCAATTCGCATTTATAGTGTTTAATTTGTCACTTACCACAGGGCTGTCACATGGCCCTGGCAGTGTTGATCCATTAGGCCCCTGAAAATTTACATTTACCAGTGTTAATCATCGACAAAGACACTTAATGATTCTTGTTGACAGAAAAAAAATCGAAGCAGTAAATGGCCGGAAAAAATGGTGGAATTTACCTTGTGAGGTTTGCAGGGGAGATCCCACCATTTCTGTCCGTTTCCTTCAATGGTTCCGGTACCGTTCAGAGTCATATCATCGAGCCTATAAAACACTAGCCACTGTTTCGCGCTGTCCTCTTTGGGCCAGCACTCCGGTCCGTCCGGCGGCATTAGAACTCCGTCCACCTTTCATTCACAATCCAGCCGGAAAATTAATTAAGTAACTTCAATTCTGCGGCTCTGCATTGGTAAAATATGAAGTAAAAGATCGGAATTCTTACTTGGAAGACGAGCCCCGGCTTGCAGGGACCGGAGAAAATGGTTGAAGTGATCATGAAGGTATGCTCCGGCGGCGCCCAAACGACGGCCGACTCAACCTGGCAGGCGGCCTTCCAGGCCGCCACGAACGCCGCCGTGTCGTCGCTGTTGCCGTCGCCGACGGCGCCGTAATCCGTGACGTCAAAAATGCAGGGACCCGAATCATCTGACGGCGGCGGCGAAACAGGGTCGGAGGGGACTACGCCACCGGGCGGCGGAGAGTAAACCGGAGGTGGCGGAGCAGGCTCATCTTCCGGCCTAGGCCTAGGCCGAGGCTTCTTGCTCTTCTGCTTCTTGGAAATGTGATGCCTCCCTTCCACATTCCCCATCTCCATAACGCTCAGCAGCAACACCGCAGCTACCACCGAAAACGCCAACACCCGGCGGCGCGTAACGGTTCCCATAGCTAATTATCCAAGATTCCGGCCACCACCACCACCTTTTAAGTGTTGGACACAGGGAGGAGATGCGGAGATGTGACGCTTAAGATTTAAGAAGACAGCATAAAAGATAACAGAGAGGAATGCAGGGCAGTTAACAGTTGATAAAACCACCTATGATATATGATGAGGTGGACGACAAGCTCAACTGCGCAATTTATAGTGAGTAAAGGGCAAACTTTTCCGGCAAGCGTGACAAGACACGTGTTGAGATCTCGTTCACCCAAGTGTCATTGTAAACAATAATGTTTCGATTATCTGCAGGATTGTAGCTAGCTAGCTAGCTTGGTCTCAGATCAGGCCGGGAGCTATATATTATTTACTCTGTAATATAAATTGAAGCATGTGCTTTTGCACATTAATGATTATATGCTCAACAATATATTGTCATCTACAAACTCGCCCTTAGCCACTAGGCCGCCGAATATTTTGGGTTGTTGTATGGCTAAGTTGTTGCGTTTAAGGATGTGTTGATGAATGGAGGAATGAGGTGAAGGACCACTCCCCCTGTGATGGTCCAAAAACCAGAAAGCTAAGGAAGAACCGAATCTCATGAACTCTTGGTTCTTGTTTGATTTTACTCTGCACAACAAATATTATTATGGCATGTCACGTGTTATCTGGCAGGACATCTACTCCTGCCCATCATCTACCTTTGCCAAAGACTCCCTCTTCCTCTTCCTGCATACGAAAGTTACCAGTTTTATTTTTGTCAATATCTTTTAGACTGTACTCCCTCTTCTTATACATTTATATAAAAGTTACGAATTTCATTTTTATTAATATCCTCTTGCATGAGTTTATGGCATATGATGTTCATAGTATGATTTGCGATCAATTACATAGAAGTAGGATTTATCCAATACATACTCTCAAATAGTAATTATGAATTTCACTCATTACTAAAAAAAATTACTTTGTATATTAACTTTCTTTAAATTTGGCACCCGGTCAGTTATACTCCACCACACTACCCTTTTCAACTACCAATGAAACATAATTATTATTAACTCTCTTTAAATTGGTCAACCAGTTAAATTGCGAGCAATTACATAAATCGAACTGCATCCTGTTGTTGTTGAGAGTAAATCTTATGTGCATGAGAATTCTAATCCACTTGATCAATGTTCGGGGGCTATATACAATATATCCGGTTAGTTTTAGTTGGGTTGTGCGTTGTGCAATAGTGCATGCTACATATTGGAAGCTCGCCATGAGTAAGTCACCCTAATTTACATCCCGAATGCTTTGTCAAGCTGGGATGTGGATACACTTAAAATTGGAGATTCAACCTTTTAGGAGAAGAAGGATTCTGATCTCAAAATTATATTAAAAGGGTAGTTTTCAGCCATGGAAGCCGACGTTTGAACGGGTGTAATTAATATGGTATATTCAGACAAGAATAACATAATACCATAACGTGAGACACATGAAGTGTTTCGTGAAAGACAACGCATTAAGAATGACGTGTGCCAATAGAATTGACAAATAACTGCCCAAGAAGAAAAGGGAAAATGGGGGAAAAGCAATGTAATTAGTGCAACGAAGAAGGGGGAAAAAAATACAAAAAAGAGGTAAAACGAGAGCCAAGAGATAGTAGCCCGTGAACCATAATTTGGCAGGACTAGCCGACTTCAATTTCACGGGTGGTGTTGGTGGTTGGGCCATTCAACTCATCCAAATTATGCAGCGCTACTTTTGCATCATGGAGAGATAATTCTGAAGTTTTTTTTTTTTTTTTTTTTTTTTTGTAAAATAATTCTGATTTTTCTAGTATTTTTTTGTTAAATTTTGATATTAATGTTACATTATGTTTTTAACTAATTTAAAATTTAATTCATTCTTGATATTTGTACTGAGAAGTCTTTTCACATTTGTTCACAATAATACAAACACTTTAACCTGGATGGTGTAATTGAGTAGAATGGACTCATATATCCTTAATCAAAGGTCAAGAGTTTGATCCTTGACTCTTGAGAATGGAGTAACTTTAAATATCCAAGCAAGTTATCCCCCAAAAGAGGTGTCTATAATTCAGTGAGGGAATTAGTCACTGTGTCCGATGATGGAATCTGGGTATACCAAAAAAAACAATAGAAACAATCTTTTAAATCTCATAAAGATTTGCTTTGCACAATAATAGAGTGAAGATTTTGAATTCCCTCTTTGTTACTACTTTACCTTACAAAAGATGTCCATATTTATCTTTAATAGTTCCTAAAATGCAGTCTAATCAAAATGAACTTTACAAATAATTCTATTAATAGTATTTTTAGAATTTTATTATCATAAAAGTTAAGATGCTAAAAAATTATCCATTTTTCTAGACAATAGGAAAGGTATTCACTTTATACATAATTCTCATACTGCCGCTACGAAAGATTGAACCTTGACTTATTTTCTCAAATACTGTCTAATACTGTTTAGTTAACCAGTAAACTAAACTCGTACCAACTTATTTACTAACCTTCTAGAATAAGTGGGGACGTCGAGATGGGGTGAAATCTTTTTTACAAATCCTATTGGTTTACACCTTACATAGACAGAGGAAGTACTAATGTACTATTAAAGACATACATGACTAGCATTTTTGTTCTTTTACTCTTTTCCCTTTATTTCATTTTTTCCAACTTTTCGGATCCGCCGTGGCCACTATCTGATCGCCACGTGCCGTCGTTTTCAGGTGGGGCCCGCAAAAGGGAGCGCAAAGACCACAAATCGGCAATCGTCTGTTGTGATGTTTGAGGTGACACGTGCCTCCATTAATTTGGCCTTTCAACTCCTTTGCACTGTGGAGTCTGTGCCAACAAAAAAAAAAAAAAAAAGAAAAAAATTGGCAGCTGGAAGAATATTATAGTGAACTGATTAGGGAATTACACTCATTTTTAAAATTTCTTAAAGAAATAATTTCATTTTTTAATCATATATGTGGTAGTTCACTTTTAGTATTTTATCAGAGTATTTTTTTTTATCGTAGTATTATTATAACATGATCAATTTTAGTTCTCTATAAAAAAATCATTGAAATTGTGTCAAGTACAAAAGCATTTTGCTCTTCAATTATGAACTTTTTCAAAAAAACAAACATAAAATATATAATGAGTCAACGCACTTTGTATTAAACAGATCAAAATGTCCTTCCATTTAACGAAATTTCAACAATTTTATTGATTTTATTGATAGAGGACCAAAATTGATCATGTCACAATAATACTATGACCAAAAAGTAATATTTTTGATTTAAAAAAATGACTAAAAGTGTACTGTCACATATAAATCTATAATTAAAAATAGAATCAACTATTTCTTAAATTATGTTTAATGAGATTATGTCTATGGATGAATACCGATAACAAAATAGAACTAACGACATAAAGAGCCTTCTGGACTGGACTATCTATATTCAATATTCTATTGGGACTGCAATATAATGCAATAGGCAAATGGATGGGTGCCCCTGATAGACACAGCCATATATGCACAAAATGCATTTTTAATAAGGTTTTGAAGTGTGAAAACAATGGGAGAAGATTGTCTTCATCAGGTGAAATTCAAAGTCACGGACTCAATAGAATCAAAAGGGTACCCATCACGTACTCAATATTAATGAACTTTTATTAGCTGTTCATGTCTACGCTCTACCAACAAACAACAATCCGGCCACTAAATTATTTGGGATTTGTCTAATAATTGTTTAGTTGTGCCCATAAAAAAATTAAGAAAAGTTGACACCAAAAATTGATTCAGTATATGGTGTCTAACAAGTAACAAGGGCAACTCAATCTAGTCGAGTTGGTCGGACAATTAGCAACTTGTTAATTACATATAGTTTCAAATTCGACTCCTTATAAGAATTGTCTTTTGATTTTATAGGTCTAAATTAATTAATTATAGACAAACTAGACTAATTTAACTTCTTATAATTCTTTACCGATTAGAGTTATAGGTAGGCTTCACCCCTAATATATCTTTGTACAGTGTCTAACTAAAGAGAAAACAAAGGAAAAGACAGCCACCATTTGGGAACAATCTTTATTTAAGCCTCGTGTAATGCACTAATGTCATTCCAAAACATGCCTTTTAAAAGGGATTAACAACAAAAAGTTATTGCATAATACAAAGTTAATAATGCACAATTACCCATAATTGCGCTGCTGGTTTTCCTATGTTAGGAATATGATACATGCATGCCTATATATAGGGGCGCGCGTTCAGGTGCGAACGGTCTGTCCAGAAAAAAAAATGAGAACGTATGCTATCCGTTCATGTGTTCAGATCTAATGGATGAGAAATACTGATTTTTTTTAAATGTAGTGTCATTTTTATAAATACAGTACAAAAATAATGTATATTTAGAATATTAAAAATATACTTTTTTATTATGATTCATATAACATTGTGTGGACCATAATTTGCCGGACTTTTAGCCTTTGATCTAAACGGATTTAATTTGGTTCCAAAATTGAGCTACATGGGCCATAAGGCCATCTAGATGCCCACAAAATGCAGGCACCATGGTTAGACCAAGTTGTTCCCAGCCCACCATAGTTGGTTGATGTGGTTTTGAAACTTTCAACTGTATCTGAAATGGAAGTCCAGTCATTCCCCAATTAAACATGATAACACTTATCCACCAGTAAGATCAAATCTTAATTATAATAAAGTTATATGATCTTGTGAAAATTAAATGTTAATATTAATGGTTAAATGTTGGTATTAACAACATTTATTTTTCACAAGACCATATGGCTTTAAGAAGCATGCATGCACACCACACGTGCAACCCCAAAGTCCATAAGTTTGAAATTAATATATAGCATAGCTAGGCAGCCTAATATTTAAAATTGTTGATGTGCATATCGAGGACTACGGAGACAAAGATGCGTTATTTATAGATTCATCGGATATTATCCAACAACAATCTCCAACTTAATTCACGTGAAGTATGCTTAGTAACATTAAGATTATATTCTCGAATTATTAGTTCTCATTTTTTATTGATTACACACTTAATTCGATAGTAATTGGAAGAAAAAATCAATGTTCGAACTAAGATTGTAATTGTTTGGTCTTTAAAGGTCAATTGCAGTTGCTACATCTAGAGTTAGAAATCTCAAAGGTCTAAAAATTTTGA